TACTTTATTTCTAACTTTAGTATTCCTTTGTATATGCATGTAGGATCTTTATTTAGATCATTTTAACTAATTTATTTCAACCATAACTATATTCATTTAATTATACTTGCCTTCAGCTATGTCCTTACAAAAAAAATTGTTTTCTTTTTGAAAACTTATTCAGACGATAATACAAGGTTTCTCATTTTAGTTTTTTGGCCTAAATAAACTTTTCTTGTTCCCTCTTATTGGGTGGAACTTGCTAAAGCCTCGTAGTGTACTATACATGGGATGACCACTGCAGCAGAGTAGATATCATGCAGGCAGACAATGGGTTCAATCCCCAGCATCTCCACCAACTTAAAATTTACTCATTCAGCTACAAACCATCCAACCAGCATCTGCAGCCATCAATAAGTTATCCCATCAACTATAGTTAGCCACAAATATAAGCCATAAGTATCAATTTAAACATTTTTTGTAAAGCTATAGGAAGAATTTACTTTGGTGATATTAAAATTTCATTTAATTTTTTTCAATGTACAATAAATATGATTAGTTAATATCTTGTTTTTTTTTTGTACCAGCCAAACTCATTTTTCAGATTTGCAATTAAGATAAGATGTTCACACTGCTAAGAGACTGAGCTAGACGGAGCGAAAACAATTGGCTCCCAAAGAATTTGGAGATTTATTGTTATACATGGGCTCCCAACTTTCAGAGGGTAGTTTATTGTTAGAGTGGAGTATACCTGCTTTTTATGCCGAATAATGCAGGTTCGATTCCCTAGGTCGCTCATTTGAAGACCCTGGCAAACCACGAAATCGTAATATGTCTAGTAGTACAGCTTCTTCAACTTATCAGCAGATATCAGTATATCAGCAGAAGAGCTAAATACGCTCCATTAGGGTATCTCACATTAAAAAGTGTCAATAGAAAACTTTACTTAAAATGCTAATAGTTTTAACTGTGTATCTTTTAGTGTTTGAGTTCTAAATTGAACTTAAAGTTTATATGTATTTAATATAAAAAATAGAATACACAAAATTTTTCTTAATAAAATTAAACCAAAACTCAAATTCCCAAAATTACCAGCTAAATACATATATGAGAAAATTTAATTGAAAAGCGGAATTAATTATTTTACTAACAACATTTACGAAAAATTTGTCCCGCCAATTGACACTCCAAGCCCAATTTTTGTATGATTCAATTAATTGTAGATTTCGTGTTGAAACACCAAAAATGTACCTTTTAGAACAGTTAAACCCGAATCCCAAATGTGTGAATATATAAATTTTAACTAACACCACATATATATTGACTATCTACTTACAACGAAGTTTTAAAAATAGAAAGAATCTCTTTTTATAGCACAAAAATATAATCGCTACTTTACAACCAGACTTTTTACTGTATGTACTTCACTAATCCTATCACAGTCCTAATATCATTTGTAATCTTACAGAACTTCCAAATAAATATTGACATAAATTAATTATTTATCATCTAATATAATACTTAAAAGGGCGACAAATTTAACTTAGATAATTACAAAAATTCATATGGAGCGAATATGTAGGTCCCCAACATAGATCATAATATGGCTTATAATAAACAATATCATAATTTATAAATAAACTAATTTCCTTTTCTAGTTTCTTGCAGTTTCATAATTTTCTCCCAAATTTGAATACTAAATCTTAACGCATCATCAATCATTTTATATTTTTAGATTTTTGCCAGACTAATCAATCATTTAATTTTTTCTGCATATATTCCTTTAAATTTTGACGAAATCCAATCAATCATGATACAACTTGGTAACACATCACCCTGCATGGAATGGTACCAGAAATGTAAATGATTTCTTCATTGATTATAAATATTTCGTGTTTTATTATGAAAATTAGTTAAGGTTCTTATTGCCGATTGATCATTTTCCTCAATAAAATCATCATAAGGTTTCGCTGTTAAACGTATTGTATTATGCATCCTAGTGCGTTTGCTTTACAACACAATTCTTTATTGTGAAGTTTTTCAGATCATACTACATGTTTCCTTCGCACATCTTTACAACTGAATACATAATATATCCCCACTGTCTTGAATAATCTTTTGTCTATTAACAATTTGCTGTCTATTGCTAGCTTAAGGCTGTCCTAACAGCTCTTAACATTGATAATAAACTAGAGCGGAATATATGCAAAGTGCATGTAGATATATTGCATATTTTTGCTCATTTCAAACAACATTGCATATTTAAGCTAAACACGATTTATTTTGCATCTTTTAAAATTATTTTTTTTCTCTTAGTTGGAATTTTAAAACTTAATATAAACGAGCTTATTATCTATCTGGACTTTCCCATTAATACCTGAATTTAATAACTATGGTTTTTCAAAAAAAAATATTATTTTATTAGCGTAGCAAGTCGTAGATACCTACATGATTTTAACACGTTGCCTGCCGTAGAGGATTCTGTAATACTTTCCGTTTACGCTATAGTGACCGAGCCGGCACAACAGTTACATTAAAATTCTTGGTCAATAGACCTCACTAGCGTGCAGGGCAATTTTTTTCTCGATCACATAAACCGAGACGGCAGGCAATGTGTTAAGGGTCTAATTATTTTGTCAGTTTCCGATAAACATTTCTTTAAAATAAACGCTGTATCTTTAGTGTTTGTGAAGTGTTTGGTATATATTAAATTTAAATATGTCTACCATCCAATAAAGAGCTTGGATATATTCTCTGCTTTCTTTTTGCCAAAAGAAATAAAAGGTGAAATTTGTTTAATATTTTTATCAGATGCCGATGCGTATATGATAAAGGTAGGACAAAATTTGAAAATATTTTATCCAAATATGGTATACGTCACTTGTCTTCTACATGGCATAAACAGAGTAGTAGAAGTTCTTAGAAGTGAATTTAATTTAGTCAATAAATTAATTTCAAACGTTAAAAAAGGATTTTTGAAAGCACCTTTATGTGTGCAAATCTAAAAAGAAAAATTACCAGGTGTAAGTTTGCCTCTAGAGTCCGTAATGACAAGATGGATTAATGCAGCAATTTTCTACGCAAATCTTTTTGATGCCATAAAAGACGTTGTATTAGATATTCAAAATGACTCACAGTGTTTAACTGAAAGTCAAGAACTTTTAAATAATGTACAAATTGCTAAAGAACTTAAGTTTATAAAAGTTAATTTTAGTTTTTTACCAGAACTAATAAAGTCATTATAATAAAGAAATTTACAATTAAATGATTCGGTTAATCTTGTTAACTTTTTCTGCTCGTCGTCAAAAAATTCCCTCAAATACAGCGATTAAAATTAGAAATAAAATAGAAAATGTATTAGAAAAAAATGAAGGAAAGTTAGACGCATTTTTAAAGGAAACTTTTCTGAAGATCTTACAACTTGGCAAATTAGTTTACTGCCTAAATTAAAATATTGTCCTATAACGTCAGTACGTATAGAACGAATTTTTCTGTATCCAAACACATTTTTAGTAATAGAAGGCAAAAGTTTTTAGTTAAAAATTTTGAAAATATTTAATTATAAATTCTTACTGAAATATTTTAGATACTTAATTATAATATCAGTTTTTGTGTGACATTTTAATTTGATTTGTTTTTATGTGAAAAGTAAATATGTATTATGTTTATATTTAATATTTTGTTTTATTTTTGTGTATATTTAATATGCGTTTGCATATTTAGGTACATTTAGGAAAAATAGTAGCTAAAGCATATATTATTGCACATATTTTGGTAATGTTGCGTTACATATATTCCGCTCTCTAGTGATACCATTTGAATTTTGATATTTTTTTCTTTATAATGCGTTTTTCTTCGTCTTCTCTCACGAAACTGCTTATACCTTTCTTATTTTTATTTTTCTCCTACTCATTTCTTATAGTTATTTCAGTATTGCGATAATTCATTTATCTGTTGAGATATTTTTCCTTTGTCTCTTCTGTTATATAGAGCTAGTCTATCTATCTTGTCTTCCCTTCTGTTTCTTCTTTAATATATTTCTTTTAATGTTTATGCATGTTTTGTAGGCATATATTAAGGTTAAGAAGGATACCTTGTCATACTCTTTTAATTATTTTGTTCTGAAGCTATTTTCTGGTGGCATCGTAATGCAAATACTGTTTTTACTGGGAATAAACCACAATTTTACTTTAAAATCAGTTTAGTTTTACGTTTATATATAAATAATAAATAATCTTTCAATTATTTATACTATGTCTCTGTCTATTTCTTTTTTCCGTAAATTATATTATTTTAATTGTAAATTTTATTTATTTTCTTCTTGTCTTTAATATTTCTACATTCCTTTTTTCTTTTTTGATACGATTACTCTCAGGAACTCAAATTTTTATCTTCAATCTCCAACAGTATCATATGCGGCTTAAGTATTTATAAACGTGAGATAGAGATCTTCTCCTATTACATTTTTCTTAGCAATTATAGATATCATCTTTTCCGCTTGTTCTTTTAGTAATTTCCCTTCGAATTCTTTTCCTTTTCTTTGTGTTTATTTGCTTTTCTATTATCCCAATACGGGTTTTTTCATGATTTTTATCCAGTGGAAAGCCAGAAATTATCACCCTATTTTTTTGTTCCACTGTACCAAATGGTGTTCGATTACTTAGTGTTTGTTAGTAAAGTTAATGTGCATTCATTTGTCTCACTTCGTCCGATTTTACGTTTCTTAGATCGTTTGGTTTATAATTATTGTTTGGCAGAATCGAATCCTTATTTACCTTGATAAATATTGTGTCATCCTAAAATATGCCAAATGTTTCACGGTACATTTTCTGAATATCATTGTTGTCCAGTAAATACACCATGTATCCAAGGAGGTTTCCATGTGGCACTTATTGGCGTCCTCTTTGGTCTCGTCCAATTTATTTGTCGCAGGAAATCAGTTCGCATTAATCTTCTTTGGTTCTGCATTGGTTATGTGACTTGGTATCTTCTGCAATTTTCCTCCATTTTTTTTTCTGTTTCTGGATATATCTCTCCAGACTTTGATTAAAAACTTTCCAATTAACTCAATTATTTGGCCCAATCTATTTTTAAGTTTTCTTCTTGGTGTTCCTATCACTGGTTTCCACTGGGTGATTTTCTTGATAACTTGTTTCTGGTCCTCTCCTTTCTAGATGTTCCATCGACTTCATAATATCTTTGTGTGTTGATAAACCAATCATTGTTGAAAAATTTCATCAGCTTTCAATATGTGATTACTCGATTCAATTCTGATCTGTAAATTTTCAGTTTTGTTTATTTGGTGGGCCGCTTATTTTTGAATAAGTTGTTGTATTTCTATTAAGTTGTCTGTATGCATTGGTTAGTTTCTTTACTAATTAATTAATTAATTAAGCGTTTAATAGATAATAAACTCTATACCTCCATGGATCAATAATATACAAACATAATCCGATAATATACTCATTCTTTTCACTATAAACGCTTATTGTTTTTATGAAATTGATTAAGTACAAAGTACAGTAAATTCGTCTGGTGCATCGTGTTATAATATTATCATTTATGAATAAAAGGGTAAATTTAGGAAAATTTTATTTAGGAAATATTAATTTAAATTCGGATTTCTGTAAATGCTGCCCTTATTTTGCTATAAAAAATAAATAAATTAGAAAAAGGCAAGAATGTTAAGCGAGGTTATAATCATTAGCCACCTTAGTCAGGTATGTTTAAATTTCGTAAAGAATCATTGTTAAAATCGTACATTAGAATTTTTTCAAGATCCGAAAAATGATAAAATAATCTCAAATGTAAACAATTTACCCTTTTTTCATAATATTTGAATTTAACTACAATACAGTCATGTTCACAATATTTATCTAATATGGAATTTGGTTCTGGTAATACTGTATCATGTCATATGTACGAGTCCTGAAGTTCAAGAAGCTGTTTCTGATTATCTGTAGCATATAATTTGCAGCCTCTTTATCGTTGACTCCTGGACTGAAACGACCTCGAAGCAACTTAATAGTTTGGCCTCTGAAACACGGAAGGCCCGTGTCTAGCATTAGAGAGACTAGTGATATGATTGCTTCACAATGCGGTCTAAAAAATAAGAATATTATAATTAATTATTAGGATAGATTTATTAAGAAAATAGAGTCACCGAAAAAAATCGTAATTAGAACAGGCTTTGGAATAAGCGTTCCTTCTTTTGGATAATTACCTAATCAATCCCACACAAGAAATTAAAAATAAATATTACATAACCTAACTTGCATATACAATCACCTGAGTTCTTTAACACACAAATAAAAAATATAATTTTTAAATAAAACCATCGGTCTAACCATACTTGACCATCAACCATCAATATCAAACAATAGCAAACCACAAATGTCTGTGATCTTAAATTACGATTTTTTTTTTCGGTGGCTCTAAATAATAAACAAACATACCAGGGTGTGTTGAGGAGTTACTAATATAGATAAACCGTAATATAACAATATAGCACCATTAAGTAGTGAGACAGGAGGCAGGCATTAACTTATTGATAAGCTGCTAAAAGCCCGCGCCCCGTTAATTTGGCCAATCCGTACCTCCAAAAACCAGATTTAGAATGGAAAATTATTCCCTATGTTCCACATATTAATTTTTCTTTTTTATTGTTACATATCTAGTAATGATCTTGGCTAGAGTGTACTTACCGTACTGCGAGGTATGCTTGGACACATAAATCTGAGAACCACTTGAAAGGTGCAGCTTCCATTTTCCCACCCATTATCATAACCATTTCGTCTGTTAGTTTTATGTCGGGTTCGAAACCCAGATTTCCTCCGGGAGAAGATTCAAACATAAACCCAAAGTCTGAAAATAAACAAATATTAAAGCGTCAGTTTGTTCTATACAATTTTTCCAAAATCATTTCAAATATATTTACGTCTCAAAATCTACTTAAAAATATTTTGTACTACGAGATTTAAAGATTTGTAAAGTGTAGTTAAAAAAAACTACAACAAATGCCAATTATCTATATTTTTCTGTTTATTTATGATTACAATCTGGCCACAAATGACTAATCAATTTTAATATATTCTAAATTACTAAAGCTGCTTGAAATCAAGAGTTTACCCTATGGCATTTTCTTAATCTACTCTGATATATAATGCACTAATGTTAACATGCATCACGCGCACAAGCACTATGCTCTGCTTTTTCACTGCCACTTAAACTAATTCGAAGGGCTTTATCCACTTCAGTCTTCTAGTTAACCCTTTGTTGTCAAGGAACTGGATTGCTTCAACATTCACATGGTTATGAAGTCGTTTTTTATGATTTTCAGCCGTCTTCTTGATAATTGTAGCCACAGTTTCCATACCCAGGTTCTTATGGAGGTCGCTGATCCTCACGTACCAAGATGCATTCACAATGTTTCTTAGTACTTTATTTTGAAATTTCTTGATTATTTCTATAATACTTTTTTTGGCACACTCCAGAGGTGGCTAACATAAGCCCAAATAGGTCGTAGTATTTTTTTATAAAGTAAAAGCCTGTTGTATCTAGATGTAATATCCAAGAATCTAATACATTTTTTTGTATCTTATGCCAAGTTCTTCCCTTTTTTTCTTAACATGGACTTTCCAGCATATCCAAATATGTACATCTCCATACAGAATTTGCTTAAATCTTAAGGTTATAGAATCGATACCTTCAATTACTTACTCATTTTTTTTCGGATTTGAGATGTCTGCAATATCGTAAACACTAACCGTTTTATGAATTTAATAAACACTTACCAATGTGTATAATATGCCCATCAGTATCTAACATAATGTTGCCGTTGTGTCTATCTTTGATTTGTAAAAGAAATCCGATAACACTATATGCTGCCATTGAAATAATAAAATTTCTTCTAGCATTTTGGAATTCTCTGGTACTTTCATCACCATATTTTTTCAAGAAATATTCATACATTCCGATATCAGTCTGTCTACCTAGCTGATCTCTTGATTTGGCATTGGGAACACATTCTATGACGCCACACTAAAAAAAATGCCATGGTTAGTGCTAGAGACTGTGAAAACCTCAAATTTTCTAATATACTTTCAGAATTATTAGATTTTTAAAATAGAAAATTCACAATATAGGAGATAAATCAACAAAGTTTTACTTTATAAGGCATTTGCTATATTAATAGTATTTTATTTGCATTTTAGTATTTCAGTGCTTCAAATAATCTAACCAAATTAATGATTATTTTAATTATTCTATACTTACCCCTGGAGCTGTAGCTACTACTCTATAAGGAAACAAGTACAATTCTAATCCAACCGTTTGAAAGATATTTTTAAATATTCCAATAACTTGTAACGCCAACATATCTTGCCTGACATCGTCTCCAACTTTGAAAATAGCAGCTTGCCACATTTCAGGACCCATACTCTGATCTTTAGCCTAAAAATTATATTATATAACCAAAAAGGATTTTACAATACTTGCGACTATAGTTCTATTTGACTAGATACTATATAATGACTATACTAAATTCACAATCAAGATGCACTAGAAATAAACAAACCAAGACACTTAAATGTGACGAGGAACACTCCCGAATCATGATTTACAATGTATAAACTTTGTAAATCACGATTTGGGAATTATACAATGTATATACATAAATAGCTATATCAAGAAATACAAAAGTAAAACTCTACAAAACAATAATACGCCCAGTCCTAACATATGGTTCAGAAACATGGACTTTAACAAAAAGCAATGAAAACATGTTAGGATGTTTCGAAAGAAAAATGCTGAGGCGAATCTATGGAGCGGTAAATGAAAATGGTGTCTGAAGAAGACGATACAACTTCGAACTCTATAGAATACACCAGGAAACAGATATCGTAAAACACATTAAGATAGGACGTCTGAGGTGGGTAGGCCATGTAATGCGGATGGAGCAAACCGACCCAGCTAGAAAAACGCTCCTTGATAGACCTATTGGTCAAAGAAGAAGAGGAAGACCTAGAACAAGATTCCTAGATAACATAGACCAAGATATGAGAAATATGGAAATACGTGCTTGGCGGAGCACGTATGGATGGATACGTGGATGGATAGGGACGACTGGAAGAGAATTCTTGGGGAGGCTAGGACCCACACAGGGTTGTAAAGCCAAAATGATGATGATGATATATTGTAAATAATTATTTCAGAGTGCTCCTTGTAACATTTAACGTGTCTTAGTTTGTTTATTTCTACTGCATCTTGATTGTGAATTGAGATTAGACTAGACTCTATATAATGTTTCTGCAGCATATACGATTAGTCTTATGGTCGTTTTGTAGATTTTCATTTTTATGTTTCGGCTTATCTTCTTATTTCTAAACATTTTTTTATTTCTATAGAATTCTGTATTTCCCGCTTGAGTTCTTCTTTTTATATATATCTACAGTTTCATTTCTTCTGTTGACTAGTACTCCCAAATATTTGAATGTTTCAACCTATTCGAAACTGTGTGCATTTATTGTTAGTTCTGTCATTTGTGTCTTCTTTTTCTTGCATATTTCTTGGAATGTTTTTTTATGTGTTACTATGAGGTTTATATCGTCCGCATATCCTATTATTTGTACTGCATTCTTATTTATAGTTCCTGCGTTTGGCAGGTTTTTATTATCTCGTTTAGTGATAACATAAACAGTACCGTTGAGAGCGCCTCTCCTTGCCTTACTCCATTTTTTATTTTTATTATTTCTGTTTTTTATCTTCCGGTGTCTACTGTCGGTTGGGAATCTCGCATTGTCACTTCTTCATTCATTCATCATTCTTATAGTTTTATTTGGTATATTACTTGTAAGTCTCGGATTATTTTTCTTCTGCTTAGTTTGTCAAACGCCTGTTTAAAGTCTAGGAAAAATATATGTGTTTCTCCGTCGTACTCGTATGTTTTCTATCACTTGTTTTAGCGTATGTATAGCGTCTATCGTGGATCTTCCTTTTCTAGAACCGTACTGTGCTTTGTTCTGTATATAGTGTTAGTCTGTCTCTAATAATTATATCAGTCATTACTTTATATGTTCTTCTGCGCGTGCCATATCAGAATTATCCGAAGTTGGCGATCACCATTGCGCAGGCTTCTCGATTTTCTACAATATGGAATAATTGTCCCGCATTTGATATCCGAGTCCATTCACGAATGTTCCTCAACCAAGAAACCCGTTTCCTTCCTACACCTTTACGGCCCTCTAAGAATATTTTATATCGACTTCTCATTACTATATATCCCAGATAAGACATTTTTCGATGTTTAACAGTCTTTAGCAGTTCTCTATCTTTGTTGACGCTCCTTCGTACTTCTTCGTTAGTTTTCCTTGCTGTGCAAGCTATCTTCAGCATTTGTCTATGAACCCACATTCCAGTTCTTCAATTTTGTTCATGATCGATACTTTTAGCGTCCACACTTCTGCAATATACAAAAGTACGGACCAAACATAACACTTAACCATTCTTTGTCTTAGTTCCAAACTGAGATGATTACTGTATCATCTGCATATATCTAATCATATTAAGTAGTTCCTCATTGATTTTTATTCCATATGGTTGTCTCTCAAGTGCCTTTTTAAATAACTGTGTAGCGTTTTAAATTTGTTTTAACTATAAAATATTTATGTATAAAATTTTGTTGTACGCGCCTGTCGAGAGGAAATTTTTACGTTTATCTTTTGCAAAGGAATTTTAAAACGATCGATATGTTATGGCGTTTTAAGTTGAACGTTCCTAGAAAAAATATTGCAAGTCTTGTATTCATTTTTCTAAAACGCAATAACTCTGGAAATGTTTCAAGGTTGTTTGGCGAGAGTGATTTATTTTTGTTTGAGTTCGGTGACACGAACGGGCATCGGAAGAGAAGAAGTAAGTGGGAGTGATTTGCGTTTGGTTTGTAAATCGAACGAAGGTCAATTTTAGGTTTGGAGAAGCATTCAGTCTGAAAAGACGTGTGGCATTTTTAATCAGCAAAGCCGGCAATTTTGTTTAATGGCTTAAGTGTTCAAGATCGGCAAACTATAATTCGTCTACCGAACAGACGGATTAATAAAAATGCGTGATCTGCACGTGATTGTTGAAAAGCGACAGTCAAATTACTTACTTCGCAGAAGTTGTATCGGTCAGTTATCGGTATTGCATACAAGGGCGTACGTTAAGGTATTTTGAAGAAATATTGTGCTGTGTATTGTGTTATTGTGTTAATTGTATTTATTTTAATTACTATTTATAACTGGGAATAAGCCACAATTAAAGATAAAAATACGTTTATTGACGTTTCAATTTCCAATTCGGAAATCGTTCTCAAAATACAAACAGTAAATTTTTTTAAATTTAATTTTTTTTTAAATTTCAAACGAGCAACATTTGCTAAATTGGTTAAGGAAATTAACTTTCAGTAAGTAAAAATGTGTTACAAATGAATTACAATATCAATTACATAACGTTTTTTGTTTTAGTTTTATAACCAGAAAAAAGAATAGCATCTTAACAGAAAAAGATGAAATAATCTCCTGGAGACGTAGGTATCTACGCGAAATCAAAAAGTTGAGAGAGGAAGGGCGGAAGATTTATTATCTAGACGAAACCTGGGTAAATGCAGGTCAAACTACCAGCAAAATATGGGTGGATGAAAATATTAAAAATCCCAGACAAGCCTTTTTGGAGGGTCTGTCAACTGGGTTAAAATCTCCCTCTGGTAAAGGTAAACGTCTAATTATATTACATATTGGATCAGAGGATGGATTTGTAGCAAATAATGGTTTGTTGGTCTTTGAATCATGGCGATGGCGATTACCATGCAGATATGAATGCTGAGGTGTTCGAAAACTGGTTCAGAAATATTTTGCCACAATTAGCAAAAAACTCTGTAATAGTTATGGACAACGCTTCGTACCACAGTAGACGTATTGATAAATCCCCTACATCAGCTACAAAAAAGGCAGAAATACAAGCATGGTTAAATAGACACCGTATAGCCTTTACGGAAGATATGGTTAAAGCCGAATTGCTAACATTAGTAAAGGCCAATAAACCAGCTGACCGATATGTTACAGACGAAATGGCTGCAAGAAAAGAACAGTATGTTTTACGTTTGCCACCTTACCATTGTGAGTTTAACCCAATTGAGTTGATCTGGGCCCAAATCAAGGGAGAAGTGGCAAGAAACAACACCTCTTTTAAAATTGCTGATGTCAAACAGTGTTTTTATGAAGCAGTGCAAAATGTAACAGCACATAATTGGCAGAAGGCAATTGAGCACGTTAAAAAAGAGGAATCAAAAATGTGGGAGACTGATAGAATAATGGAAATCACTGTCGAACCATTAATTATTAATCTTAATGATGATTCCGAAACTTCCACTTCCGACAGCGAATAAAATTTCTTAAAATCGCAATCAATTGAGACCCAACATTCTTGCCCTTTGACAAGTGAAGAAATGGAGATCGCACTTAAAGACGTTTCACCGGAAAAAGACCTAGGTTTCGACGGCATCCACTCCGAATGCATACTCAATTGCATTCAGAATCCCACGGGAATTTAAACGTTCAAAATTCATAGCAATACTAGAACCAGATAAACCAGTTGATCACCCAAAAAAACTATCGACCAATTTCTTATAATATAAATCTTATAGTACTTGAAAGATTAATGTTTAAAAGAATCAGCCCAATGATCTGCAGCTTTTAACACAGTCTGACCAGAAGGAATGATTTATAGACTCTTACGTACTCTGCCTTGCAAATTCATCGCTAGACTAATAGAACATCACCGTCAAAGTATTTCAAGTAACTATGGTATTCGAAATAAGCAGCCCCAGAAAACTCAAAAATAGTCTACCGCAAGGCTCGTTACTCGCAATATTGCTTTATAGCCTTTATATCGCAGACATACCGATAACATCAACAAAGTTTAACTATGCTGATGACTGGGCTTTATTAACACCAACAAAATCACAAAAGAAGCTGAAGAGATTCTGACGGAAGACCTAGCGATTATAGGACATTACTTTCAAAAATGGAGACTTCGCCCCAATGACTCTAAAACTGAAGTAACTTACTTTCACCTAAACAACAATCTGGAGTCAAGAACACTACTTAACGTTCTTTTGATAACACATGACTCAACCACAATAAACATCCAAAATACCTAGACGTAGTTTTGGACAGAACGGTAAGCTTTAGAGAACATTTAAGTATAGTTGCTAAGAAGCTAAAAGCCAAAAATAACATAATTCAGAAGCTCTGCGGCACAAAATGGAGGCATCGGTATCTAGACTCAGGTCTTCAGGCTTAGCTATTATTTATTCTCTAGCTGAATATTGCATACCAATATGGATCAACAGTACTGATGTTCAAAGGATTGATATCCAGCTCACCCAAACCTACACCAACCCATTTCGAGTCTACTGCCCTCCAAGGTCGACTGCCCTCCAGAAAATCTCCAATACAAACCGCAGAATTAGCTGCAGCTACCGAGTTCAACATGACCACCAAATGAATCTATGAATGGTCGGAACCTGAACCAAATACAGTTATACCTTTCATCACAGAGACACCTCCTGAATTTGACCTATCACGTAAGACCGGGTGCACACTTTAAAGCATCAGTGGAGTAAGCTACCATTACGTACACATTTAAGTTTACATGTGTATAATGTCCACATTGCCTAAAGTTAGCCTATAGTATTTTGATTGCCATTTCTCCCCATTTGTTAAAGACACTTCCAGGTCTTATTGTTTACTTTTTAAGGAACTTCTATTATTTTTGTATTGCATTAAAAATTTTTAAGTTATAGTGTCAGATTGAGGTTATATTTTAAAGTTATATTTTAAAATTGTATTGTCCACTTCTACGCCAAATGCTAGAAATTGTTTAAAATTAACACTATATATATTTCCCGTACAGTCAAGCTTGCGTTATTTATATTTTAGCGGTATCTCAAGCTTTTATAAACGCTCCCAAATCATCCTATTGAAATTTACGGTTTTTTTTTTCATTACAATGTATATAACATATTGTTATAAAATCGATTATTTCAATTTTTGTCTGTATAATAACTTTTTATTTTATTTTTCTGGTACGTCACTGGTTCAATGCGAACGTATTCGTATAATAGGTTTCTTCCCAACAAGTGGCCGAACCGTCCAAAACTATGAACGAATAGTCGACCAGCGCAGTAAGGAGGATAGCACTAATGACAGTATTATTGTTCTCTCACTGACCAACTGTTTGCCACGAATTCTGACTAGTTTGACAGTTTGTAGGAATGATTATAATATTTCATAAGTTCACATGGTATTCACGTGATAACTCCGTCTGTTGGGTAGACAGGGTATAGTGGAAATTACTCTCTGTAATATGACAGATTAGAATAGAGTAACCACTGAATATTTAGAGGATTTGTGCAGTATACCAGAATATGGTAAATATTTAAAGCAGTACATAGGGTGTGCCACAATGTGCCGATGAGTTTTGCTTCCAACCTCGTTTGTCGTCTCTGATCGTCGTTGCAGACTATGGAGACAGTGTTCCTTTGTTCCTGTTTAAAAATTTTCCACCCAGCTTCTACCCCAGAGATGTTAGCAAGGTTTCCAGAAGTTTAAGTGTAAAATATGTGAATTAAAGGTAACATTTAATGTATAATTTTCCAAGTAAAATAGACATTTTTTTTCTAAGTAACAATAATTGCTTTCGTTTAAAATTTAAGAATCTATAATAATTAAAATTATATATATTAGGGCGTGGCTAAAAGATGTCATAATTATTCTGTCTTAAAATGTTGTGTTGACATATGACAGCTAGCTTTAATCTGTTTTTGTTGTGACAATTTTTTATTTGTTTGTAGAAAAGGTAGAAAACTTACGATATTTTCATTTATAAGGATATCCCTAATTTCAATAATCTATTTTGGCCACAGTGATAAATAACCTAGTAACCATTTTGAAAGATTTTATAGCAATCTCCATTGTAAGCAGATAGGATATGTAAGTTTTTTTCTTTCTAATTTTGTATTTTGGAACTATTAATATATTATATTTTTTTGTGCTATCTGTATTTTGGTAACTGTATGTTTGAGACAAAAATAAATGTTTGATTTATTTCTCTGATTTATTTTTATGTTTTTAGTTTAGAAAAGTCTCCTAACCCTTGTGTGTATTCTTGATTTTAGAAAAGAAGAACCTTTCTTTCTTCCAGCAGGAAGCCTTCTCGAAACGGCATCCGAATTGAAATGGCTAGAGGTATTTCTTGTTGTCATATTTTGCTCATTTTGTTCTAGGAGATTTATCTGTAAGTATCCCTTTTTATTGTTCTGAAGCTATTTTCTTGTGGCATTGTAAATTAATTACTATTAAACTGGGAATAAGCCACAATTAAAGATAAAAATACGTTTATTGACGTTTCAATTTCCACTTCGGAAATCGTTCTCAAAATACAAACAGTAAATTAAACAAATTTTGTTTTTTGTTACATAGTGAAAAATTCTTCTAATAATTTAATTTTATCTGACTCATTTATATTGACAATTCAGACATACATTATGCATTTTAAAGTAGACGACTTTAAAATGATATTGCCAATATTGTTGAGTTGCGCTCCTGGGACGACTTTACTTATAAGATAGTTCATTCGATTACATGAAATCAACTTTAACTTGAGAATATCCGTCAGAAAAAAATCATAGCATGTAATTCGTCTTTAAAAAGACAAACACGTGACATGATGGCAGTAAAGTTCTCCTGTTAGTGATTCCATAGTAAATTATGAGGGAAAAACCAGGAAAAAAACCTCATAATACTATCCCGACATTGTACGTATTTGTTCGTGAATTTAGTTTACCTTCAACAAACATCAAAATTCTGATTTTATATGTTACGTTATTTAAAAAACATAAATGATGTATCCTCTGTATGTTACTGACTTACTAATACTGGTATTTTCTTATTAATAACTTCCTCTTTCAATATTGGTAACCAGATCCTACTACATTCTGCCGAGGAATTTGCGACACAATTGGCCTCATTTAGCATAATTAGAGCCGCTTCTTTGATTTTTCTTTTTTTACCATCCGTTTCTTTTAGGACTACATTTGAATTATTCCATTGAACCCTATGTTCATTATCCCATGCGTGTTTACAGATTTGAGATCTATCAAATTCTCTATTTTTAATATAAGATTGATGTTCACTTATTCTAATATTTAATGGCCTTGATGATTCACCTAAATAAAACTGATCGCATTCACAAGGTATTTTATAAATGCAATTCTTTGTCCTTTCTTGTTCATTTTTAGGTTTGGTTTTGGACAAAATAGATCTCAACGTGTTTGTTGTTTTGAATGTTGTTGAAATGTTGAATTTATTTCCTATCCTTTTAAGTTTTTCTGATAGTCCTTTTATGTACGGTATTGTTATTTTCCTCATATTATTCCTTGTGTATGCTGTAGGATCTCGTTCTAAGTTGTTCTGTTCTATTCGATCGATTGTTGAAAATTCCTTATTTATAAATGATAAAGGATAATGATTTTTTAATAAAACAGATGTTAACAAATGTTTCTCCTCCAAGAACGAATTTTCGTTAGAACAAGTAATTTTGGCTCTATCGTATAAGGATTTAATTATTCCCTTTTTTACATTAATATTGTAAACGATAAAGAAGAGACAATAACATTTACCATGGAAAAGGAATATAATAACACGCTACTTTTCCTGGATGTTTTAATCTCTAAGAACGATACTGGATATGAGACTCAGGTGTATAGAAAACCAACACAAACCATAGATATTTAAATTTCAAATCAAATCACAACACTTCATCTTGTTCCGTGTTCGTTATTGGTTATCTGTCTTCTTCTTAATTCGCTTCTTGATATATTTCTTAGAAATACTTCTGACATTTTTCTGTTTTTATAGCTATATTAGCTGTCCGTTTTCGGTTACCTAGTTTTAAGTATTGGTACAACGGTTTTGAGTTGTGTCTTTTATTTTCTGTTTTTATCTCGTTCATACTTTCTTCTTTTTTTATTTTTTTTTCGATTTAAATACTTTCTTTTGCCTTTGATCTTTGTATTTTTCTCGTTCCTCTTCTCTGCTTCTGCCTTACCATTTCAATATTGTTTTATTCTTTTCTGTCCACTGCTAATTTTCACTCATCGTCAAACCAATTATTTATTCTTTTATTTTGCATTTTGCCAACCACTTTCTCTGCTGCATTGTTTATTCCTTATTTGATTTTTTTTCCACTGTTCCGCCATTTGTTGTTCTTTGAACTGCATCTCTGTATTTACTTCTTGTACAAATCTTCTTTTTACTTCTTTCTCTTTTAATTTATCTACGTCCCATTTTCTCTGTGCTTTTCGCCTTTTATTCTTCGTTGTTTTTATTTTACATTTTGTAATCACCAGCATATGGTCCGAATCGATTGTTTCTGTGTCTTTTTTATCAGTACATGATCTATTTGTTTTCCCTCATGACTTCCTGGACCCTTCCATGTTATTTTGTGTATGTCTTTGTGTTTATATCTCGGGCTACTTATGTCCATGTTTAATGCCGCTGCTAAATTACATAGTTTTTCTTTGTTGTGTCATGTATTGAGTTTTCACCTGCAACCTCTCTGAAGTAATTTTGTTTGCCTATTTGGGCGTTGAAATATCATGTAATGATTAGTATATCTTCTCCCGGGATTTTCTCGGCGTTTTCTTCTAGTGATTCATAGAACTGTTGTTTAGTCATCACTGTTTTTTGTGGGTGCATCTATCTTGTATTGTTTTAACTGTGTCGCTAGTTCTTCCATTTTTCTGTTTCCAGCAGCGTCCTCACGTTTCATGTTCCAATGATTTTTGTCATTCTCTTAATTATCTTTCTTTTTTTGTATTTTTCTTATTATTCTGAATATACCTTGACTCATTTTCCTCTTCGCAATATGTATAACTATTAAATAAGTTAAACAAGTTTGGAAAGCAATTATCTTAAAAAAAAAATAATAAAAAAGGGTAGGCGATAAAAATCATTAGGAAACGTCAAACTTGCCTTAAGTCTCACATTGTGTGGCTATTATTGTACTAATTTTTTATATCGACTCTCTTACTTAAAATATGTATTAATAAAAAATCTCCAAAAAAATATAAAACAAACTGTTAACATACTTACTTGGTTTGTTGATACAGCCATTGCTATACTTTCTAATTCATTAATACCACACCTGGTAACTTTAAACCTAGCAAGATATGGAGCTTTTGCTGCACTTTGCATAGGAGTTCCACTTTTATAATCTATATCAATCACCATTGCTTCAGGATTGCTGGGCAAATAACATCCCGACTGCACCTAAAACATAAAATAAGGATCGATGATAAAATTAAAATAATAAAGATAAAATAGAAATAAAAATAAAATTTGAAAGAGATCAATGAGTCGTTATATTACATCTAAATACATTCTATTTCTTATTCCAACTTACCTTTATTTTACTTAATGCTTCTAAACACGCCCTTTTCCTTTCAATACCTTTGGGGAAAGGTCTAATTTCACCAGAAATATTCGTAATTTTATCGAAGAAATCGAACTCTCTTTCATAGAACAGTTTGGCAGGTCCAGAGAGATCACTGACAATACTTCCGACTAAAGACTCCAAACTTTCGTAGATCACAGCTAAAAACATAGTTTATGAATATGTTAATATGAGAATGGAATAATAAGTGTTAATAATAAGAGAATAGTGTAACACGACCATAGACATATAATAGAAACAGACTGAGTGCTGTAATACAACCCCGTTACGTGGGAAGGTAACGTGGTCGATAAATCCGGTCCATTAGAAAGATATGAAGGGACTGCTTTGTGTTAGTTTTGCCTGACGCACTGGGGGAACGGGAGTGCATTGCAGCGCTCAGTTTATTTGTAATATATGTGTATGTGCACGACACAACTGTTTCATATTTTAAACATAACTTTAGTTTTAACTTTGCTTGATGAACAAAATCTAATGAGTAGCGTACGAAACTAGTACTATAGATTAATACACAAAAAGCTTATGTGTACATAGTGTGCACCCAAAGTCTCTCCTCACCATATTTTTGATCCATAAAGCTTAAATGAATAAATTGTTATATACCTTAAATAAGGCATTATGTTAATTTTTTATGTTTTAGTGATATAATTATTAATAATGAAGGATGGGCACAATTTCTAATGAGATCAGATGACAAATAATGCCTCATTTGAAAGTTAGTTTTAAATCTCCTATGCTTTGTTTCAAGATAAGAAAATAATATTGCGCTTATAAAAATCAGTGTTGTCAAAACTCTCATGCACGTGTTGCTATTAGATTGTCGATATATGCTTCATTCTAATCAGAGCCGTATTCAACACTATGCAGTTGTAGTTAATTAATTTCACTAATAAAAGGATATGTATAGTTGAATACAAAATAATGCATCATAAATTCTTGTTTCTTTAATTGACAGATATAGGTATGTAGTTATTATAGGTCTAACAAAAATAGTTAAATTTTTCTATTTTTTAACATTACATATTTATTAAAGGCTTGTATCGGAATCACTTCTTCTCTCCTTGAATGGCACGAAGCGTTGTCCATCACCACAACAGTTTTCTCTGGAAGATTAGGAAGCAGCTTTTTCTTAAATCAATGTTCAAATATAGGACCATTCATCTCATCATGATGGTCCGCTGAGTATTTTTTAGCTAAAAACCAAAAAGCAGCACCTTCTACAAAGCCCAATTCTCTACCCACTTGCACGATAACAAATCGATGGTCTCGTTGTGTCGGCTGTTTTAGACCTGTTGACAACCCCTTAACAAACGCATCCCTGGTTGGTCACTGAGAGGTCCTTTCATTCTTTAGAAATACTATGTTTAACATTCACTTTGTTTCGCCCAAATAAACGACGGTGTATCCTTGAGAACGAAATTTTTTTATCTCACGCAAATACTGATGCCTCCATTTTAGAATATCGGGACGTTCAATTATGCTTGACTTTATTCCTCGTTTGCAAAAAAACAAAGTTTATGTCATGGAGATTCTCTACAATGTTGTGCGTGACATGTTCGCTAAATCTTTGTATTTTTAACCAGTGCAAAAACTTTGTTCAATGTCAGCAGTAAATTTTTAAAGAAAAAACTATGCATGATGGCACGTAGCCAAGTATGAACTATGTACTGCATCGTAAGTGAACTTTCTGCTGTTTACTCTACTTTTGGTACGTTGTCTTGTTTTTTTATGCCTTAGTCCTCCTTCCGCAGCTTCTTTGCGTATTTTAGAAATAGTACTAAAACTTGCTCCCGTCATAGCACTTACTTTATCGGTGAAACCTCTAACACTTTCACAACTTCTTAAATTTAGATGATAATTAAATACATTTAAAACAGATTGATGTTTGTTTTGCACGGATGTCCAAGATATTCTCTTGTCTTAATTTTTGAATTTCCATTTTCAAATTAACATTTAACTGTAAAGTCATAATAACTACTAAAGAACCACAAAGCCTTATCATTATGTAGTCAGAGAACGACATAAAATCGCTGATATACGCACACCGTATTATTTTAAGTTGCAATTAGTAATTAGATATACGCATTCCAAGGGGAAGCTGGACAACCGCGCTACACAAAGCGGTCCGTTTAATTGCTTATCTTTAATAGCCGGCAAAATGCATGCTTTAGCTAAGCAATATTTTCTACTGATTTTCATGATTCATTGCATATAGTATTCTAACCGAAAAACAAATAAACTGTTGTTAATATAATTAAAATATTATAAAATAAAATAATCTTTTGTAAATACTATTTATTTAATTAAAATCATTTTCTCTACTTTTCATATCTTGTTTCGAATGGGCACTTTTGGTCAATTACGTTAAAAAACATTAATTTTAATTAATGTGCGTGGAAATGAAAATACAAATAATACAACCCTGAATCATGCTTGTGTTCGTCATGGCGACGCCGTGCTTCTATCGTCCATAAGAAATACATGGCCCTAACTCCGCAATGTTATTTTCTTAACGTGGAATGCTCTATACACAGTTATCAGTTACGGTCCAAAAATCATTTTGTTAAGATAATGAATGATAATCGTCTTCACTGATGTTTTTATAAGTACTTGCAATATACTCTGTATTATGGCATCTCAAATGTCATATGGAGTTAATGTCCAAATAAACTATCTTTGGTAATCTAATTCTAAACTTAGGTAATAAAATTAATGACACATACGATCCTTTTGTAGCATGTCTTCATCCATAAACATATTCGTTTTCATGTTCCAAATTAACTGATGTGCAACTATTTGCGACTTTTTCGCTATGTATTTTATAAATTCTGTTACATATCCCATCTAAAAATAGAAAAATATAGTTTGTACTTAATATTACTTCAAAATTAAGTTAATATTTATATATAAAATAATCATAAATACAAGCCTGTACCTTGTCATGTCTTAACGCCTGTACAAGTTGTGGAATGTAAAATAGTACGGCATCTGCTGGATAGGAACTGAGTACCCTAACGGCGTATTGTGCAGAGATTGGATGTGAAGGGAACTGTCTACTGAAGTACGCCAGAGCCTAAAAACATACATTTCATGTTTAAAACATTTTGTAAAATTACTTAAATATTAAAGGGTGTTTTCTGTAGAGGTATAGAAATGAAATGTAATGTAATGTAAACTTTTCCTAAAAATACTGCACTCGAGAATTTACAACAAAATAGAAGTCCAACTAAGTGAAACACAATTTGGTTTCAGAAACAATCTTGGAACCAGAGAAGCACTCTTCGGTTTGCAGGTCATGGTTCAAAGATGTAGGGATATAAAACAATCAGTATATATGTGTATTATTTGACTTCGAAAAGGCTTTTGACCGAGTAAACCATGACAAACTTATAGGTGTTTTGTAACAGGTGGGAATTGATGACCGAGACCTTCGTATTATCAAAAATTGGTATTGGCATCAATGTGCAAACATAAGAGCTGGACACAACACGACGGAAGCAGTGGAAATACAACGTGGAGTGAGGCAAGGATGTATTCTATCGCCTCTACTTTTTAGTAGAGGCGTATACAGACATTAAAATCAACAATCTCAGATATGCAGACGACACGGTACTTATTGCCTCCAATGAAGAAGACCTACAACGACTTATAAACAGGATAACCGAAGCATGTGATGGATATGGGCTAAAACTTATTACTTTCTAAGACAAAACTTATGAAAACAGAGTTACAACCAACGAACATCAGAGCGTATGGAATAGAGTTAGAAAGAGTCCACAATATTACCTACTTGGGTGTAAACGTTAACGATAACTGGGATATAAAAAAAGAAACAAGAATACGCATTAAAAAAGCCAGAGCCGCCTTCTATAAATTAATTCTAAATTACTATTATTCTAATTAATAAAGATATTACGTTAAACCTTAAAATCAGATTGATACGTTGCTACATATTCTCCACATTGCTGTATGGTATGGAGAGCTGGACCCTTACAGAGACATCAATAAAAAAATTAGAGGCCTTTGAGATGTGGATTTATCGACGAGTATTGCGAATAAGTTGGGTTGATTGAATAAGAAATTAAATAGTTTTACATCGAATGAAAAAGAGCACAGAAATAACAAAAACGATAAAAATTCGAAATTTAGAATATTTCGGTCATGTAATGAGACATCCAGAGAGGTATAACCTTCTACACCTCATAATACAGGGTAAGATCGCCGGAAGGAGAGGCCCAGGCCGACGAAGAACATCCTGGCTCCGAAATCTCGGAGAATTGTATCAAGAGAAGACCGTTAATTTATTTAGAGCCGCCGTAAACAAAGTTATTATTGCCAATATGATCGCCAACGTTCGATAATCGGACAGGATACTGAAAGAAGAAAGAAGATAGAAATGTAAGTCGGTAACACTTTTTTAACTGTCGGCCATTTTGACAGCTGTCAAGTGATTTATATCAAGTTGGGTTTGACATTTCGGCATTAATAGATTTGACGTTTGAACAACGCTTCCACATTGTAGAAGTTTATTTTAAATATTGTGGTTCTGTATGACGAAATACGTATCGCGGACTACTTCCATTTTATGGTCAATATAATAGTCCATCAGAGAAAGTAATTCGATTCACCATGGAACGTTTTACTCTAACTGAAAATATGCAGCCACAGACACATCGTACAGTGCGTACAGAAGAACTTGATGCTGCTGTAGAACATAGCATACAGGAAGACACGAATTTACCATAGTGTACAGCAGTTGGATACGTGTCCATCCACTTGATGGAAGATTTTGCGGAAAGACCTTGCTTTGTGTGCTCACAAAATCCAACTCATGCCAGAATTGAAGGTACATTATCATCTAGCCAGGCATAGATTCGTAGATTCGGTGAGCGGGTCCATAACGAGATTGCCGTTCATTTCGATTTACAAGCCAATTTTGTTTAGCGATGAAGCTCACTTTTGGTTAAATGTATGTTGAGAAACTAATATATCCAGAAAAACTGACTGTTTGGCGTGCTTTATGCTCTGATGGAATCATTGGATCGTACTTCTTCAAAAATAATGCTGGCCAGAACGTTAGAGTCAATGGTGACCGCTATAGAGCCATGATTACTGCCTTTTTCATTCCCCAATGGAACAACCATAATGCGCAGGAGCTATTGCTTCAATAAGATGGTGCAACATGTCACACAGCTCGTGTCACAATTAATTTATTGGAGGAAACGTTTGGTAACCGCCTAGTTTCACGTTTCGGAACGTGAGTTGGCCTCCAATATCGTACGATGTTACACTGCTAGACTATTTTATGTGGAGACATGTGAAGGTTCTAGTCTACGCCGATAAGCATGATACGATTGACCACTTGGAGGACAACATTTCGACAGGGATAAGCTTGGAGCTCTTTTTCGCGAATTGTTTATCATTTTTTTTTGTTTTATTTGTTCAATATTGCTAGTTTAGCTATCGTCACCTGATTTTTCTTTTGTCCAATTCTTTTTTGTTTATGTGGTAATAAAGACCACCCATCTCGTCCGGATCTGAGCAACGCCCCCTCGTTCATTTTGTGTACCTCAAACACTGTACATCATGCGTTGTGTTACAATCTATAAAAGTTATTTCTGAGTCGACTACATGTAGTTGTTTTAAGCCTAGTTTGTTTGTTTGTTAGTAATTAAACCACATGTATATTTAAGATAAATCATTTACCTGAATTGGGGAGACTCTTGCCCACGTAAGCATGTTCACTAATTTCGGACTGTCAGTTAAAATTGCATCAGTAGTAACTAAATATTGCAATGCTTCTGCTACGTGAGCTACACTTGTAGGATTAATTTGGACTAGACTTTTTATTTCACTTATAATGGTATCATTCATCCTAAATCTGAAACAAAAATATTTTAAATCAACAGTACCTATATAAAGTAAAGTCATCATACATATAGGATTTAGTTTTATACTGCTAAGATGGTAATAAACAATCGATAGACACTTATTTAAAGAAACAAAAACAGGGAATAACTATTGGAATGAAAAATGCTAAATATAGCTGAGACGTAGATAACTGTGTATTCCGAATCTTTTAAATTATACTACTCTAATTACTATTAAACTGTGCTGTGTTCCACCACTACTCTAATAACAGTATAAATACTGAATGAGAATTTAAGATTGGAGTTTTGTTTATTGGCAGTCGACAGTGACGTAATTTCAGCCTGTTGAAATGGAAAATACCCGACTGATAATATCTTTGTTGAAATCTGACGGCTGGTGTTTTTTAACGTGCAGAGCTGAAATGTTAGAATATCCTTTTAGTTATAGTTCGACATTATGCATAGCTAAACTCCGCCTGTGGTGACTAATGGGTGGATTGAATAGCTCAGGAGTCACCATTGCCGGTCCTAAGCCCGGGTAAAGGAGGAAGGTTGGGCAGTGGGCTAACAACCCACTCCCGGAAAAACACACTGTTATGAAACCTAAACATTTGCCTCGGAACAAGGGGAACTTTCGGAAACGACTAAAGCTACGAAACATGGACTATGCATTTGGAAGTTGGAATGTGAGGACGCTAAATAGACCAGGAGCTCAAACTGCACTTCTACAAGAACTAAAAAGATATAATCTTATGATCACTGCTCTTCAGGAGACAAGATGGCTGGGGAAAGGTGTCAGGGACACCAAAACGCACACAATTCTATATAGTGGCAAAGAACAAGGAATCAAAGAATGTGGAGTTGCATTTGTGGTAGATAATGATTTTAAGTCAAAAATCATAGACTTCCAGGCAGTGAATGAAAGGATATGCAAACTAAGAATTCGCACCCACTTCTTCAACCTTACTATGATAAATATCTACTGCCCAACAGATGAACACGAGCAACATACAAAGGAAAGCTTCTACCAACAGCTGGAGATAGTATATGACAACGCGCCAAAAAATGACATTAAGGTTATAATGGGTGATATGAATGCCAAAATAGGCAAGGAACCGCAGTTCTATGGCACAACAGGAAAACACTCACTGCACAATGAAACAAGCCAGAATGGGGAGTTTTTGATAAATTTTGCCACCAGTAAAAACATGGTTATAAGCTCCACATGCTTCCCACATAAAGACATACACAAAATGACGTGGATCTCACCAGATGGAACCACAACCAATCAAATTGACCATGTGATGATAGACAAAAGGGCATCCAGTAGTATCTCTGATGTGAGAACACGACGAGGAGCATGCTGTGGATCAGACCATCTTTTACTGCAAACCAAATTTAGGTGCAGAGTTAACAGAGAAAGAAACGAAAGACAACAAAGAACAAACAAACTAGACCTGGAAAAACTGAAGACTCAGGAATGTAGAGAGAAGTTCGAGCAAGAAGTCACAAATGAGCTAAGGACACAAGAACTACACTCCATAGAGAGCAAATGGAATAATATCAAAACAGCAGTGCTGACAGCAGCAGCGTCCACCGTGGGAAACAAGAAAAAGAAGAGAAGAGGAACATGGTTTGATGACGAGTGCAGGCAAGCGATAGAAGAAAGAAACGAAGCGCACAAAATGTACATAACAAGAAGAACACGGGAAAGACGAACATCATTTGAAGTCGCAAGACGGAAAGCAGACAAGATATGCAGAAACAAAAAGAGAGCTTATGAAAATGGACAAATAGAAGAAATGGAACAAAATTAAAAAAAAAAACGAAATTAGAGGAGCTTACGAATACCTAAAAAAGATAAAAAGTGGATATAAACCTCAAACAAGCCTATGCAAAGATGAAAGTGGGCAAATAATCAGTGACCAACAGAAAGTCACAGAAACCTGGAAGCATTATTTTCAGACCCTACTTGGAACACAAGTAGATATGGAAGATGAAATGGGTACGAACCATGTAGAAGAGAACGAAGTTGAAGTAGAAGCTCCAACCATAGAGGAAGTTCTCGAAGCTATTAAGGCCCAGAAAAACAATAAAGCCCAGGGAGTTGACGAGATTCCAGCAGAACTGTATAAGGTAGGTGGCAACCACCTATCAAGTCATATCCACGCGCTTATCAAAGAAATATGGCAAGAAGAGAAAATACCCGACGAATGGAAGAAAAGTATAGTATGCCCAATCTATAAAAAAGGAGACAAACTCCAATGCAAAAACTACCGTGGAATTTCTCTACTATGTACAGCGTATAAAGTCCTCACGTATATTATAAACCAGCGACTCCAACCACTAGCAGAAAATATTATTGGAGAATATCAGACGGGCTTCAGACGGGGAAGATCGACAATGGATCAAATATTTACAGTCAAGCAGGTCTTGAGCAAATCGTGGGAACACGACATTGATGTTCACAACGTGTTTGTAGACTTCAAACAGGCATACGATTCAGTCAAAAGGGACAGACTATACTATATATTGGCAGAATTAGCAATACCACATAAGCTAATTAGACTCATTAAAGCCACAATGGATGAAACTCAGGCATGTGTACGAATACAAAACAACCGGACAGACTTTTTCAAAATCTCGCAGGGACTAAAGCAGGGAGATGGGCTGGCACCAACATTGTTTAACCTGGCACTGGAGTATGCGGTCAGGCAAATGCAAACTGGACGAGAAAACCTACTGACCAATAAAACGGTTCAACTGGCTGCCTACGCCGATGATATTAATATTATGAGTAGAACATCAACAGGAGCACAGGAAGCATACGCAGAGTTAAAAACACAAACGAAAAGGCTAGGTCTGGAAATTAACACAGAAAAAACAAAAATAATGGTACAGACGAGAAGAAATATAATCCCACAAAACATTATACATGAAGATGACATTGAAACGGTTGGAAAGTTTACATACCTGGGAGTAGAAATATATGCCGATGGAGCAGAGGATGGAGAAATACGAAAAAGGATAACGCAGGCAAACAAAGCTTATTTTGCCCTCTCCCATATATTTCGGTCTAAAAGTGTCCACCGAAATACAAAGATGAGAATATATAAAACTTTAATTCGGCCAATAGCATGTTATGGCAGCGAAGCATGGGTCCTGAAAGAAACATCCAAAAACAAACTCGACACATTCGAAAGAAAAGTACTGAGGAGAATACTAGGACCTGTGAGGGAAAACGGAATCTTCAGAATTCGATATAACAACGAGCTCTATCAACTGTATAAGGAAACACCCCTGTCAAACTTCATTAGAATACAAAGATTGCAATGGGCCGGACATGTGATACGAATGGGAGAGGATAGGCTACCAAAACGAGCACTGAACGCCAGAATGCAGGGAAAGAGACCAGTTGGAAAGCCAAGAAAGCGCTGGGAAGACACAGTAAGCAGCGACGCACAAGCACTTTTAGAAGTCCGTGTATGGAGAAGAGCAGCCACAGACAGACAAGGGTGGAGGCAAAAAATAAAGGAGGCCAAGGCTCATTTTGGGCTGTAGTGCCGTAGAAGAAGAAGAAGATTATGCATAGCTATAGTTTAATAATACAGGCGTAATGAAACGACTACATAAAAGCTCTTGGTATTTTCCAGTTTTGCTTCCTGCTCTCTCCACAGCAGTTCTGGATAGTGCTTTCAAAAAGCTCAATTGGTGAAAACCCGGGATAAATATGGACAGAAAAACGGTTCCTTCGATTTACCGACGATATTGTCCCAATTGCCAATGAAACAAATGTTATGACAAACTTAGTAATCTAACAATAAAATTAGAAAACAATATGATAGAATAAGTCACACAATACAAAAACAAACAGGTACAAGAAATACAAAAAAATAATTGTTCTACGTTGGGCTGCATACGGAAAATTGAATAACACATTCAATAGGGAAATTAATATAAGCCTTAGGAAGCTATACAATCAATGCGTGCTTCCAGTTATGACATATGGATCCGAAACATTAACGCGCATTAAAAATATTGCTAATAAACTGAGACTAGCACAGAGAAAAATGGAAGGACCAATAAGAAAAAGTTACGACCACCTGAGGAAAAAGGAATCCCTAATAATAAAATGGTGTTTTGTTTTTCCGGTAGTGATCCGTTCCCAAGTTAATGTTACCTATTTTAACTTGGCTGTAACGTCATTATAAAGACCAATACCAAATTTTCTTATATATTTTGGAAGCGTTGCTTTCTTATCGCGGGCTATGAACGGAGCGGTAGATTGCACAGAGGTACAATAAAATAAAAACGATTGAAACGATAAAATGAACCGACGGTAACGACAGATCGCTCGACCACACTCCGTGGAATAGTAACTACAGTGCCATGAGTGTTCCTTAATAAAATAAAATAAAAAAAAAATAAATAAAAAATATAATAAAATTAAAATAAATAAGTTATAAAAAGTAGTGGATCTAATAAATAGTAGATTATACAAGTAGAAAAAATTGTCAATTAAGAAAGAAAAAAAAAGATTATGATGAGAGTGTATTGTTAGTTTTCTTATAAAAATGAAATTATTACCTAGAAGGTAGATAAACTGCTAATGTTGGTGATATATCCCATGCTAATCTAGTATAGTCTTGCCAATGCTTGTCTGTGATAGTTTTGGTTCTCCAAAATGCAACCGTTTCTTCACCAGCCATTTGTAGTTCTGGTCTTAATGTTGGATTATGCCAGACTATTAAAAATTCGATTTCCACAGCCTAAAAATGTTTCAAAATTGTTTATTGTTAGTATATCTCAAAAATGTGTACAATTAGTACAATATACTATAAGTATAATACTCTTATGGTCAATGAACAATGGGAGATCAAACTACTTTAGAAGAAGTCAAAATTTGAATGCACATCTTTTTTGGGAGTGTTTTCTCTTAACAAAATGCGCATATTGGGTCTGTTGAATAAAAATAAGTGTTACCTTAAAAGTAGTAATTTTAAGCAAAAGCTAATACTTATAAGAATAAGATATTACTTATTTTTATTTGAATAAAAGTAAGTGTTTTTTTATAAGGTAATACTGGAAAAATATTCTGAAATTTAAGTATATACTTGTAAGTATTAACTTATGCTTGTAAGTACATATTTACTTTTAAAATTGTCTTGCGAAGTTTTTATAGCTGCAAGACAAGTTTTAACAAGTTTGTAAACGTCGCGTGCGTCGTTGAGATTCTGTGTAGTAGGTACATCCACGTCAGTTAAATTTTATCGCTATAAATAGTCACGTCGTCGCCAAGTGAGAAAGAATTACCTGTCGAGAGTGGCTGTCAAAGGCTTATATTTGTAAAAATATTGAAATATGACTGGTAACAAAAAAATTAAATTGCGCGAGTGGGAAAAAGAATTTCTGGATATATTGAATTTTGAAAAAAATCCAGTATTCACGAAAATTCCTGGGGGATGTTCCATTGGAACTAACAATTGAGAAGCGAACAATCTAGAAAATACTGGATCAGCTAGTACCAATTTACAAATACCTTCATCTATAGGAACGCTGAAAAAACGCCCAAAGAACAAGAAATTTAAGTTAGAGACCGATGAAACGGAAAGTTTATCAACACAAGAGTTGCAAGGACTTGTTGTTCTTGAACAATTAAATGTTGCTATACTTCAAGCGCAAAGGGAAAAACTTCTGATAGAAAAATTGACAAATGTTTTGCGATATCGAATTCCTGAAGATAGTTTTGGAGCAGAAGTGGTTAATAATCGCATCGTATCAGAACTACGAGAATACATAGACTTGTAATTTCCAAAGATGTACTGCCATTTTTAATGTATTTCTAATTTCCATATATGTACTGCAATTTTTAGTTTCACATTGTTTGTTTTCTTAATTTTGTATTAAAAGTTTCAGTGTATTAAATAGGTATCAAAACAAAAAATAGTTGTTTTATATTGTAGTGTCTATGGCACAAAAATTGACTATGATATTTAAGTAAACAAATTAAAAACAATGTTAGAAAATTACAAAATCAAGTAAAATATTGTTTTTAAATATTATTGTTAAATATTGTTTCCACTATTAATTGGCATTTTGCAGCTCCTCTTTGACGAATGATATCTACTTCCGCTTCATTGTAATGTACATCATGGAGGTCCTGTGAGTTTTCCCGTTCATTTTCGGATAACTCAAAATCGTCCCGCAGATATTTGCAAATATTATGCAAAACAGCACAACAAACAATGATCTTTGGAACTTTTGCCAAAGATACTCTTACTTTAGACCCTAATATAGGAAATCTCTGCTTTAGCTGCCCAAATACTCTTTCAATTATCACCCTTTCTCTGGAATGAGTGATATTAAATAATTCCTCGCTTCTGTTTTGGGGGTTTTTGAATGGGCATAATAACCATAGAGAAATTCCATATCCACTATCTCCAAGAAGGCAAAAATTGCCTCTAAAGCTATGTATAACTTGATAAATCGAACTTTGTTTCAAAATCCTCGAATCGTGAACACTTCTAGGCCACTGAGTGTCCACACTTGTAATCACTTCATTTGCATCACACGTTATTTGTACATTTATGCTAGGAAAACCTTTTCTATTAATAAATTCGTCACCAAATTCAGAAGGTTTTTTAATTTGAACATGGGTACAATCCAGTGCGCCAATAACGGTAGGTATTTGGAATCGATTTGCCCAGTGTTTCCTTGCTTCTTCCATACCTTCCAGGTCAGACGGAAACTTTATCCACTGATGTGATTTCTCAAAAATTCTGTCAGCAACATTATTTATGGTTTTACATACAGTCGTATGGTGAATGCCGAAATCTTCAGCAATACCTGGTTGAAATCCAGTATCACTAACGTATCGCAGAAAAATCTCCATCCTTTGTCGAGAGCTAAGGGGACCTCCTCTGGTTTCATCTAGCTGTGGCAAAAATAATCTGATAGAAAGTCTATACTTTCGCTTTCAAAACGCAATAGAACCTTAGACTTGCTGGGACTTACGTTTTTTCTTTTCATGTAGTGTTTATGTTTACGAACATATATAAAGTCAGCCATCATTATAATAATCGAAAAATGGTTAGAACTACCACTCTACTAGTGTAAGTATGCATAATGGCGTATGTATTCATTTGAGATTCCTTAACAAATATTAAGGTATTACTTATTAATTGTAGAATATCCTTCTTTTTATTCAACTAAAAATAAGTAATAACTGGAAAAAATTTTGTGTAACCTTATACATTCAGTAACTACTTGAAAATAAAAGAGATTACTTATTGCTCTAAGTAAACTCTTTTACATAAAGTAATTACTGTTCTTTTATTCAATTAATATTAAGTAAATACTTAAATACGAGGAAGTAAAACCAAATACTTATTTTTATTCAATAGACCCTTTATGTTGCTACACAAAAATAGAGACAAAAATAAACTTACTATAGGCATACAAATTGCAATTGGAGGCTTTCATGGTAAAATTCAAAATTAACTAATCTAATTTGGTATATGATAAGATGTACCAAATGAGAAAATAAGAAATTTAACAAAAGTAAAAGATATAATCGGTCAAATGTCAGTGTTAGTCTCCTTCATCCTTAAACGATTAAGGATGAAGGAGACTTTCGTGAGGTTCGAGAAGGAAGCAGAGAAGATGGGGCTCCAAATCAACGAAAACAAGACGAAATATATGTATATGAGCCGCAATAACCAAAGCAGAGACAGAATCGGTCATAACATCACCATCGATGACTTTAAATTTGAGCGCGGTAGAGAATTCAAATATCTTGGAACCGCAATAGCGGATCACAAGAAATAAACAACAGGATTCAGGCCGGCAACAGATGTCTTTTTGCCCTCCAAAACCTTATAAAATCGAAACAACTAACAAAACGTACGAAGATACAGGTCTATAAAACAATCATATGACCCGTTGTGATATATGGAAGCGAAAAGTGGATGATAACAAAGGCAAACGAAGAGAGACTATGTGTTTGGGAAAGAAAAATCCTAAGGAAGATCTTTGGTCCTGTGCTGGATGAAGCATCAGGACAATATAGGATAAGAACTAACAAAGAGCTCGAAGAACTTTACCCAGACGTCAACATCATAAAAGAAATAAAGTCCAGAAGACTCCAATCGGCAGGGCACCTCAGAAGACATTCTGACGAACGAACAGTAAGACTGGTGTGGGAGGAAGTCCCGCCCTCGTCTCCGGTGGCGAGATAATATAGCAGGAGACCTATGCACTATGGGTAAGAAGAAGAATTGGATGGAGGTTGCTCGAGACAGAAAACAGTGGAGGCATGTTGTGGAGTCGGCTAAAACCCACGAAGGGTTGTAACGCCACGGAGTAAGTAAGTAAATGTCAGAGTTAAAACGGAACTTGGCAGTACACCTAGCATTACTGGAGAATGAGAGATGGACAAGAAACATTTGTCATTGTGACCACGTGAATATAAATGTAGTAGAAAAAATCCACATAAACAAATGCTAGAAGACCCCAAAGCAAGAGTAGGTACATATTGACACCAACTAGCAGACAATAGTAGAAGGTTCAATAGGATACCTAAATCCAGGATAAGATGGAAAAAGGCTGATAAAAAAATAAATTTCATAAAAAATATTAACGTTTGCTTTAGGGAAAAAAAAAATAGATACGGAATGAAATGGATCAGCAACAGTTATATTGCCAAAGAAGTGGACACTTTAAAATTTTCCAATTTTAAAAGTGTTAAACATTTAAGAATTCAGGAACGAAGGTTTTTCTTCGCATATGATAGAATATTAGATGAAGTTCTATTGCATGTGTGAACTACAACTGACTCAAGTCGAGTTTAACGTCTGTTGATCAAGGGGATTCTCGAAAATATGTCTGCAGATAAACAATAATATAATAATAAAGCTAATAACTTTGTTAACAACGAATTGGTTACGTAACATGAAAAGTCTGGATAAATTAATAAGGCGAGTTTTAGAGATAATTCATAATGTCGTGGACCTGACGTAATCATTTAGTGACGTCTATCTACGAACGAAACAATGATATCAGGCATTGCTAAAAACATGCAATTCTCTTCAGTGCGTTATCGTAGCGAGACAGAGACGAACTAGTTTTTGCTTTAGTGAAATGACTTTAATATTTTTATTTTTTTTTTGTGAACAATTGTTTTTAATATTTTATCATTGTTTGGATCATTCTGAATAAAAAGGTTAGTTGTAATTTTTCTCTAAAGTTAACCGTTTTCAACTTATGAACAATTTAAAACTGAAAAAAAAAACGAAAAATGATATTTAAAGGCTCAAAACACACAATTATTTTTGAATTCACTAAACCTTGTTTTATCAGTTTCTGATACTTTAGTTTGGGCTTATTTAATTTAAAAACATTGTTTTTAGTTTTTGAGGCCCTTATTACAACCTAAACATGGATTTATACAAAACTATGAGCAACCTCTTGAACATTTTATCAAAGTGATTATTATGGGAATATTTTTCTCAAGGAATTCGAAGTTTTCGTCTCTTATAAACATATTTTACTGAATTTAAAACCAAAATCCTATTATTTTTTTATCATACATCGCTTTGTTATTTATTTATTTGTTCTCTAGATTTTTTTGAGTTCTTAAAAGGTATATTGATAGGCCAAATTAGCGCAATGTAGGAATACACTGCAATAGGCAGTGAAGACGGGAAGTCGTAAATTTTTATTACATCGTCCAATGTGAGATAAAATAAAAATGCGATGACTAATTGGAATGTTTAAGATTAGAGAAACTAAAAAAATAATATGACATGTTTATTGGAAATACTCGACATCATTAGCACATGCAAATTCTACCCTGTCGCCTAATTTCCTATGAAATTAAAATGGTAAATGTTTTTAGGGTCCATTTGTTTTTTCAGACATGCGTATTTACGAGGTTTTGAAACACCTTTACTTACCAATAATTCCAAAATTAAATTTCTCTTCTTCAAATAGCATTTTACGAAATTATCTGCAACAGGCATTCTTTTCGTCGATTTCGCAGATCTTCTGCTTAGTGTGTTGGTACTATTCGAAAGAGGCACAGTATTGATCCAACCTGTAGCTGATTTGTTAAAATCGTTAGGTTTAGCCAATTCGTTGCCCTGTACCGGAGGAGCAATTGTGAATTCCACTTCTGTAAATATTAATTTTTGTTAGAAAATATCCCAAACGTTTTGAAAAATTATAGTATTAGCTGATAATATGGCTGCTTTATTGTTACAAATTGGCACCCAACGTGGGCCCAATGTTTAACAAAAAAGCAACCACTTACATCGTTGAGTGCCTATTGTTTAACAATAAAACGACATCTCAGTCAGGTAACTATGAACAAGACACTTGAGATGTCAATTTTAATGTTAGGCCTAACAATAAAACGACATCTGTCAGGTAACTATGAACAAGACACTTGAGATGTCAATTTTAATGTTAGGCCTTCGACTAGCGCTTTCTCAGTTAGAGGAACGTCTCATCTTAATTCAAACTGTACAATGTTCAATGAGAACTTTGACAAAGACAAAAGATTATACTAAATAGTCATATTTATTAAATATAAAAAAAACATTTAGTGAGCAAATCTTGCCTACGGTTATACTACATGCATTACTTATATTATGCCTACATATACTTATGGCAGATACATAGATATTGTCACTTCTGGAGAGGAAGTGAATGTATTTTTCAAATAGCGACGAATGTAGGATGTATTATGCTGACGCTATTTTCTTGTGACATCTTAATGCAATTTATTCTTTTTGTTGGGAATAAGCCACAATTTTATTTTAAAATTAAGTTTATTTAACAATAAAACACTGAAAACTTTGTTTTCAAACTTCCACAAAATTTATTTTAAATCTTATCACTACAGCTGTTTCGGCTGATAGCCTTTCTCAAGTGATCTATTTTTGGCTTGGGTTTACAAATTTATAGTCTCTAATGAAATAGGTTGAGGAGGGGAGAACTGTTTGTCTCAAGTTGGTCATTCAGAATTATATCTGTTTTTTAATTTGTTGATTTCCATAGATTCTAACAAAGATAGCTTAAGGCCTTTATTTTGAATGTGAAGAATTTTAAATTTGTCATTAAAAGAATGATTATGATCTAGAAGGTGAAGTGCGTATGTCGAATCTGTTTTTCTATTCTTGAAAGCCCTTTTATGTTCTGCTATTCGTTTATCAAAGTTTCTACCAGTTTGACCGATGTAAGTTTTTGGACAGTCGCCACATTGAAGTTTGTACACACCACTATTTAAGTGTTTTTTATTGTGGCTCTTGTTATTTTTAATATATTTACCTAGGTTGTTATTTGTTAGGAAAGCTGGTGTTATTCCTTTCTTTTTTATGTATTTGGCAATTTTTGTTGTTATTTTGCCTGTATATGTAATCGAGCAGAAGGTACTGGGTTTTTTCTCTGGTGGTGGAAATACTAATTTCAGGGCTTTCTTGTGTAGTTTTTGATTTAACATTTTATTAATAAAACTTTGATGGTACACAAGGCAAATATCGAACACAGTATTTAATTAAATCTTGCCCAAGTACTTTCGATCACAAGATCATCTTCAGGGGCATTTCGTCAGTTGTGGCCTATCCAGCAATAACCGAATGTCATAAATGTAAATTGGGACATAACAAATACACTAAACAAAGACAAACAAACACTTTAAAATTTAAAATTGGAGAAGCTACATTTTATATTATAGAAGCCGGAGACAGAATGACGAAATGCCCCTGAAGATGATCTTGTGATCGAAAGTACTTGGGCAAGATTTAATTAAATACTGCGTTCGATATTTGCCTTGTGTACCATCAAAGTTCATTTATTCGAACATTCAACCTTATATTGATTTTATTAATTGTTTGTTCGTTGTATCCGTTGTTTACTGCTATTTGCTTAATTATATTTAATTCTGTCTCAAAGTTGTCTTTTGACATCGGAATTTCTGTTAATCTGTGTAACTTACTATGATAAACTGCCCGTTTATGTTGTGTTGGATGGGATGATGAATTGTGTATAGTCGTGTCAGTATGGTAGGTTTGTGAAATATGGAGAAGTCATGTTTGTTTTGAAGTCTGTTAATTTTTAAATCTAAAAAATGTTGTTCTGTTTCTATTGTAAATTCAATATGACTATGAAGTGAATTAATATACGATAAAAATTGGTCGAGTTGCCTGTAAGTTCCTGTGAAACATGCCAGTACGTTGTCTACGTATCTCCACCAATATAAAAACTGTTTGAATACGGGATGTTTTGAAATCTTTGTCTCTAGATGATCCATAAAAATATCTGATAGCAATGGGCTTGTATAGCTGTATAAAAAGAAACTACAGGTCTTATTGGGTTATCCGGTTTATGTAGTTTAATGAAAGAGTATAATTTATACAGCTCCGTCATGAAAACTTTCAAAAAAACTGTTAGAGATTATTTTACAACACACTAAATTTTCACCTAAATTTACCATAAAAAATACAATAGAACTAGTTAATAAAATACAACATTTTCAATTACCTAACAACTCCAGATTAATTTCATTTGACGTAAAAAATCTTCTTCCTAGTATCCCTCCTACAGAAACTTTTATTCTAGTAAAAAACCTTTTAGACCAAAATAGTACAAATCCAATAATTACATCTGAAATCTTACATCTTCTTGAAGTTTGCATAAACCAGGACTACTTTGAATTTAATAATAAAATATATACAAATAACAGTGCAGGACTTATAATGGGTAATCCTCTAGGCCCATTGCTATCAGATATTTTTATGGATCATCTAGAGACAAAGATTTCAAAACATCCCGTATTCAAACAGTTTTTATATTGGTGGAGATACGTAGACGACGTACTGGCATGTTTCACAGGAACTAACAGGCAACTCGACCAATTTTTATCGTATATTAATTCACTTCATAGTCATATTAAATTTACTAAATTTAATAGAAACAGAACAAAATCAATGTATACATTTTTTAGATTTAAAAATTAACAGACTTCAAAACAAACATGACTTCTCCATATTTCACAAACCTACCATACTGACACGACTATACACAATTCATCATCCCATCCAACACAACATAAACGGGCAGCTTATCATAGTAAGTTACACAGATTAACAGAAATTCCGATGTCAAAAGACAACTTTGAGACAGAATTAAATATAATTAAGCAAATAGCAGTAAACAACGGATACAACGAACAAACAATTAATAAAATGTTAAATCAAAAACTACACAAGAAAGCCCTGAAATTAGTATTTCCACCACCAGAGAAAAAACCCAGTACCTTCTGCTCGATTACATATACAGGCAAAATAACAACAAAAATTGCCAAACACATAAAAAAGAAAGGAATAACACCAGCTTTCCGAACAAATAACAACCTAGGTAAATATATTAAAAATAACAAGAGCCAAAATAAAAAACACTTAAATAGTGGTGTGTACAAACTTCAATGTGGCGACTGTCCAAAAACTTACATCGGTCAAACTGGTAGAAACTTTGATAAACGAATAGCAGAACATAAAAGGGCTTTCAAGAATAGAAAAACAGATTCGACATACGCACTTCACCTTCTAGATCATAATCATTCTTTTAATGATAAATTTAAAATTCTTCACATTCAAAATAAAGGCCTTAAGCTATCTTTGTCAGAATCTATGGAAATCAACAAATTAAAAAACACAGATATAATTCTGAATGACCAACTTGAGACAAACAAATCTCCCCTCCTCAACCTATTTCATTAGAGACTATAAATTTGTAAACCCAAGCTAAAAATAGATCACTTGAGAAAGGCTATCAGCCGAAACAGCTGTAGTGATAAGATTTAAAATAAATTTTGTGGAAGTTTCAAAACAAAGTTTTCAGTGTTTTATTGTTACATAAAATGAATTTCCATCAAGTAACGGTCGAATCCATCAATTATTAAGTTTATTTGCCGTTTTTAAAAGTAAAGTTGTGGCTTGTTCTCAAGAAAAATAGTAAATTGTAGGATGTAGTAGCAGCAGCATTGATGTAGACTGTAGTAGCGGCAGTACTGATGTTGCTTCTAATACAGCCAATCTGCTGCTAAACATCAATGTATCATTGATGTTGATGAAGTGGTATCAGCTAGAAGAACATCCATAAACTACGTCGTAAAAAAATTTGACTTTTTAATTCCCTCTTCATCGTAAAGTACAGTCGAGACTCTCCCTCATGTCGACGTCGCAATTGCAACTCATGACTCAGACTCAAGATATACTGGTATAAATTAGTAAAAAATTATATTTATAGAGACTTCTTCTTCTTGTAGTGCCTATCCTTTTCGGATGTTGGCGACCATCATGGCGATCTATATTTTGCAAATTGTGGCTCTGAAAAGATTTGTGATTGTTGGTTGAACTCCGTACAACAGTATAGGAAAGATATAACATCGTAGTAACCTGATTTTTATATATACTCATAAATCGTGACATTTGAATAGCTTAGCCGTTTTTTGAAATGAAGATCTTGCTTTCTCTACAATAGATTTTATTTCTAGGGAATGGTCCCAATTTTCATTGACGTTCGTACCAAGGTAGGTGTATGTTTTTATTCTTTCACTTCAAACTAGGAGTTTGAAGTGATATTTGACAATAACTATCACGAATACCAACACACACAAAAAAATGTATCTAGATGAAAGTTAGTATACGGTGGTATACTACGGGGGTAAATAAGAATTAAACTGAAATAATTGCCACAATTTAAATTCAAGAATGATAATTAAACAGAGTATTTAGTTGACAGAAAAGTTGAGCACCAACAATTTTTAGAAGAAAAATAGTAAAGCAAAACATAAAGTTAACAAATCAATAAAATCAAAAGAAATTGGAAGAAAATTATTTAAAGAAAAATATCAAACATGAGACGTTTATAATGTTACAACATTACGAAATATATTTTATGAATTTGATTGTAAATGTATCAATAATAGTTTAAAAATTACCTCCTACGTCACTAGCCTTGAGATACTTCTTGTCTGAATGTAAGGTTTGCCAAAACCTGATCAGCGTTGATATATCTTCTCTGAGCTCTGCTGGACTTTGAGATGGACATGTAACAGGCTTGCAGAAGTAATCTAGACAACTACAATATATTCTTTCTCTAAGAACATTCTTTCCTAAACTTTTCGGGAGAATGTCACCTTGTAATAAAGCCAAACCACATGACAGGAGTCTGAAAAATGATTTATTTTTAATTTATTTAAATAATCTTTTAATATCAAAAAATGTGTATTTATATTATGCATTAATGTCATACCTTTAAACAAGGTTGAATTATTCCGTCAATAGACAAACAAAACATAAATAACTGTGTAAATCATATTTAGCAATGTCTAAAGACAAAATCGAAGACTTGATTGAAGGGTATTGTGGTTTTATCAATCCCTAGATTTTTAACCTGCATTTTTTTTAATTAAAAAATGTTTTTATGCACTGTGAATTTTGTTTTTTTTTTAATTCCATATAAAAAATAAATAGACCAGATCATTTTATCAAGTCTAAAATTTGGCCAGAAGTTTCAAAATTTATTGAGCCATAATACCTAATATTTATTAATAAAAAACTTTTTCAAAGATACATGGCTTTATACCTGCCAGGGTTAGAAATGTTCTATTTAAGTACGAGAGAGTATCGCTCTGTCGACCAATTTATACGATTGGTCCCTTCAAGACCACGTGACTGACAGCGAGAGTGCAGCTGTAGGAAGTTATTGTATTATGAAGTTTTATAACTGTATTTTTCATTCAAATTTGCTGCTAAAGTAATGTTTCGACACATTAAACTTTGTTTTTGGTAGATTGATAGCACCTTACAGTTCTTCTGTAATGTTTTCTCAATAAATTTTGTATTAACTTCTTTCATGTTTTAGGTGTTGGGCGTTCACTTAAATAAATAATAACTTACTTAAATTTGACTCCGATAGCCGAAATATGTCTGGTTTGTGACGGCGGATTACTTCCAACGTTCATAGCTAAAGAGTGATGTATTAAGCTGCTGATCATTTCTACTTTTTCATAACTGCTGTACTTTATCGTTTCTACTAATTCACATATGAACTGGACCCAAATCGCATGTGGTTTTACAAAGGGAGGATCTGGTTCCAATCTGCAACCTACAAAAGCAATTTCAACATCAGTATAATATATTATTGTGGCCAATTATACAAGATGAATGATGTAGAGTTGGAATGTAATAAAAATATTACCTTCGTAGGCTGCTAAAGGGCTAGTATGATGTCTAGCTGCGGAAAACAATCCAAGCTTTTTCTGCACTGTACACTTCCAAGCCGAGACCATTTCTTGTAGAAAACGAATTTCTAATTCTGGTCTAGCGGTTATTAACCATTGCCAACATTCTACTGCTGTACGCATAGCTTCGACTGTAAATAATTCTACCTAAAAGAGAAAATGATAATTAAAATCAATACGACTGCAGACGTTTTTGGGGAATATGTTATTAGGAATATATGTAAAGTGTTTTCCTTTTACGATCTTAATACGGTATTAAATAATGTATGTACAAAAATACAAATATAATTACCAATTTTCATGGGAATAAGCCACAATTTAAGTTTAAAATAAGTATGTATTAAAAGTAAAATATACAAAGATTATAAATAACAATCGCTCGCGATAATGAAATATTAGATATATCACCAATAGTGATATTGATTTCCATATATTTCTTATTTATGTGAATAAGCAATCAAAGTAAAGTTGATATTTGCACGTTTTTAAGGTTTACAGACCATAGAAATGACAAAAATAGTTTATGTAACAGAGTACGAAGTTGAAATTAAGGTAAAACTTAATATAGACGTTTTCATATTTCTTGGCGTGTGCGTGTAAAAACACTTGCAATAAGTTGTTTCATCTGTCTTTCCTTGTCTAAGCTCGATTCGTTTACCTCCTCCAGTGGCAGCTATCTGTATTCGTAAAGAGGCCGAACTTATCACCGACACCGTATCGGCCAAACGCATCGGTGTTATTGCTACAATACTGGGAGACGTGAGTAGTCTCTTCATTCCCTTCTCATCGCACTTTACCATGACAAACGTGAATCGCACAATTGAATTACGCATATGTGTATCAGAGAGAGACGAATATTAAAAATTCCGTAGTAGCTTATATCAAGCACACGCCAAGAACGATGAAACCGAGTTTACTGATATCAGATAATTCAAAATTAAGAATACCAAATAACTTCTAAAAACGTTGTTACACATCTATGGAGGGTTATTTAGTAAAAAAAATATAATAGGTACAGTATATTTATGATGGTGTGATAAAATACTAATGATGAATTTGATAAAAACAGTTAAACTGTAAAAGTTACCAAAGGTTGAACAAGTTGCCCAACTATTATAACAAATAAAGAAAGGTAGATGAATGGTACCAAACGATATAGCTGAAAAAGTGTGGACAGCGTTAGGAGAGGCAGCAACAAGTATGCTAACAGAATGATTTAATAGAATTATCAGTGAGAGTGGCTAAGAAGTGTACAAAAAAAGAGATGTCCCTCTCACAAAGCATAAACTACAGGTTATAAAGCTAAGTAGTCATACCATAAAAATATGGGAGGAAATAATTAATAGACGCATCTTCTTCAAGTATCGTGTTAGACGATCGAACATTGGCGATCCTATTGGTTATAATATTTTTTCGACAGCTAGAAATAGATCAGAGGATGTCTTATAATACTACTCTCAGAGACTTCAGAGCCAGGATGTTCTTCAAGTTGAGCCGCTTCTTCCTGTGATCGTGTCCGGCATTATGAGGTGCCTTGGCACTTGTTTATTTCTTTTATCTCTCCGTTTCTGAACACTAATATTAGATATACCAATGTAAACTACTAGGGAAAGTTTAAATTTGATTGCTTGTGAAAACTTTTAATTATGAAATTAGTAAATTCCACTAGGAAACTAAGTTCCTGTAGCTGGCTGTATATCATGTATCACAATTTTTTTATTTAAAATCCTTTATAAAAGTTATATAATAAAATACCCAAACGGGCTATATCACAATTACAAAACGTGGATTTCGGAACGTGGACTTCGTAGACACTTTGTAGCCTCAGGACCAAGTAGCCTCATGTGGAGTCATACGTCGCCATGTTACCAATTCCACTGGTAACTTAAACATCTTAACTTTTAAGAACATATAATGTAACAAAAATTTAAACTAACAACATTTAACGGGTTTTTATCCATATGTTTTGGTGGCTCAAGACATGTATACTTAGTTAGACTGATGATGAAATTTACATTCCCAAAACGTTCTGTAATTGTGATATAACCCGTTTTGGTATGTTATTATATACCTTTTATAAAGGATTTTAAATATATTTTTTTAATTAGTAAATGTTTACATCTACGAATTGTACACTTTCAACTGTAATATTTATATTTTTGAAATATCTTCTCTGAATCTCTGGAACACTGTGGTCTATTATTTTCATTAAATGGCTTCACTTTTCTTGCAAATCCTCAGTTTGGCAATATTTAATTTGTTCATTTGCTCTTTTAGTTAATTTAACTTAAAGTATCAAACCCTAATAATTCTTAAGACTGTTATTTGGCTTGATAATCTGTTCTTAGAAACTTTGATCTGTTATTATAACTCTTTTTTAGTTTATTGATATTATCCTTTGGCATTTACGTTTGTCCAATAATTTTAACCGGAGACTGAATATATAATATTTGGCATTATTCAATTCAAAATATGACTTACCTGAGACCAAGCTATGCAATGCAGAAGACTTCTATTTAATTCATTAGTAGAAATAAGTAGCGCTGTGGCTTGCCATAAAGCATCTCTATGTAACTGGTCTGACCTTTCCTTACAAGATGTCCAGACTCGATTGAGTATTTCGTTGACTAAAGTGTTTTTGTCTTTTCCTAATTCCATTCCTATAACCTAAAAATAATAGAAACGAGTTGGGTAAAAATGTAAAAAATTTAATGTTTGATTTTATATTACACATAAATATTGTACTGGAACCACTTTTGGACACGGCACCAGTGATGAACGCTCAACAAATTGATTCATGATATTAAGCAACCTTTTACTCTAATTGAGTGATTCCACAAACACGGAAATCCTTCAATAGAAATCTGTAATCTTTACTCTGTGTGCAACTGCTTCATCCAGATGCCGCTAGTTGTATTAAAGTGAACATAATTTACCACATGTCAATTTTGGCGCCAAGACAGTCGTATTGTTAACGTTGTTTGTAAGAAAGTGAATCAGTTTCTTAACTTATACGAACTTAAAAATTGGTGTGTTATTAAGTTTACTTAAGTGAATCAATAGTAAAGGCATGTAGTTTAATGTGTGTTTATTGTTTTTATTTTATATCTGTCGTAAAAAATTTACCTTGGGTGTTTAATACTATCTACAATTACACGTATGTTCGTAAAATGGACAGGCTGTCCATTTAAGGGTACATACGTTTTTATTTGAAATTACTAGTAAATACATAGAAATAAAAAATGCTATCTTCTGCTATAAACTGGAAGTATGTGTTGAGGGGATTCAGTATTGGACGTGGCCATTAAATGAGTGTCCAATAATGGATATGAAAATGCCTATTACTGGTGTCAAGAAATAATTTTGTTTTTTTATTTTACAACCGATCCTTTATGATGGATAGAAAGGGACATAAGAATTATACCACTGCTCAAATGGCAGAAGCTCTATCAACAGCTAAAATGGGTATGCCAGTTGCAACTGCAAGTAAGAGATTTGGTGTACCTCGTATTACATTGCGCAATAAGTTGAAAGGAATAAGTCCTGAGGTATGCAATATGGGCCCTCCAACAGTTCTCACTGCAGCTGAGGAAGATCGCATTGTTAAGTGGATTATCAACATTGCAAGAGTTGTAACGAAATAGTGCTTAGCCGACACAGTCACCAAGTTGATAGGATAGAAAAACTCCATTTACCGAAGGTACTCCTGGTAAAAAGTGTTTTATGTCGTTTCTGAACAGACATCCCAATATATAGTTGAAGATGCCAGAGGAACTTACCGTTTATAGTAGCCAATTAACAGAAATTGATATACGCAATTGGTTTCAAGAAGTTTCAAATTATTTTGAAGATAATGGGTACTGTGAAATTTTAGGAAATGCACGTAGAATTTTTAATGCTGATGAAACAGCTATTTCATTGTGCCCTAACACTGGAAAGTTTTGGCACATAGAGGAGTTAAAAATATCTATAATGTATCAGCATCTGAAAATATTTGTCCTCCTATGGTAGTATATCCATATAAAAGGGTACCTTCAGACATTGTTACTAAATTCCCGAAATCTTGGGGACTGGGCAAATAGGCCAATGGGTGGATGACGGGAGAGGTATTTTTTGAATACGTGGCGAATATATTTGAGCCATGGTTAACAGAAAACAAGATATAACGACCTGTTATATTTTTTGTGGATGGGTACAAATCTCATTTGACATTACATCTCATCTACAGGTTAATGAAAAGGGCCGTAACTCAATAAAAACTGGTTTTTGAAAAAAGTGATAAGGCAAACAAATTTTAAAAATAATGCGTTAAACTAATGATGCCACAAAATTAATTTGATTTGAACGTACTTAAAAGTTTGGGGGATTTAGGGCTGCACGCCCTAAAATTTGTCTGTGCGCTTAGATTTTGTTGTTTATTTTTTATGAAAAATGCTTTCAGAACAAGAAAGTAACTTGTCCATTTTTATTACAAAATGTCAAGTAGTTTAGGAGATAATGCAAAATAACAATTTTTATTTTGTAACTTCAAAGGGCTGTAACTTTTTTTGTGTGCACTTTTGTACTAAGGTAAGTTGGGTTCAATCAATTTATTTTGTCCCCGGAATGTGTGATTTAATTTATGACATACCTTTTTGAAACACCTTGTATATATATATATATATATATATATATATATATATATATATATATATACTCTTATAATTATACATATATAAAAATGGTGTCCATAACTGGGTACGCAACTGTCCAAATTAGGATCGATTGAAAATATCGATGTCCAATACTGGAGAAAAAACATTAGTTAATAATAAATACATTTTTATATGTTGTTGTTTTTTATTTTGGTAAAATGAACTACTGTAATGATTTAAGACAGTCTGAACAATAAGCAGGTATGTAAAGTTAATAAAATACTTTATTATTAATAATTATCAATAGAAAAAGAAAATTTATGGTTCTTAAAGTGTCCAAGGTTGGTTCCATTACCCTATTTATTATAAATAAAAATTCGAAAAATTTCTTTTTTTTTACCTTTTGAAAATGGACTCACATTTGCAAACAATTATCATTATTTTTTTAACAGACTTTTAAAAAGTGGTACAGTAAGCGGTACTGTAGGCTAGCGCGAAGCTCCATACTATGTTTTCTGTATTTTTAAAATCTGTATTTATTGATATATAAACATACTTCAATTTATCAAAACTTTTGTAAATTCTGAATTGATATTTTGTCACATATTATGATGTGACTCTTCATAGCGATAAAACTGAAAGTTTTTTCAGTGTATCATCAAGAAAATATAAATATATTCTTCCGCATGTTTAAAAAATGCACTGGTTGGGTTCTAACCTACCACTAAGCTTCCGTCCATTTATTCTTATAGCTTATGCCTTAAATAACAATTTGAAATTGTCACATTGACATTAGTAAATGTAACCAAGACATTTTCGATGCAATTTCCTAAACTCGGAAAATACTGCGCGAAATTAAAATGTAATAAATTCGAATTTCTTCTGGTACAATGCGATGCCTGCAATCTAGATTTCTGCAAGAGCCACTTTAAGTATAAATCACACAATTGCCAGTATATAAAAACCAAAAAGTCAAGTATAAAAAATCCAATTTTAATTAATAATAAATCGATCAGTAAAACGAAGAAACATTTAAAGCCATTTATAGAAACGCATAGCACACACCAATGTTCTGAACCAAAAAGGGTAAAATGTAGAAAACCAAATGGCTATTGGAATATAGGATATATTTATAGAAACAAATCATTCATCAAGGATAGTTCCGGTATTATACATCCCTACACCACCATATCGGAAAATGTATGCGCCTTTGAAAACTGCAAACAGAAAGAACTTATGCAACGAATGTGTCCGCAGTGTCTGAACAAATTTTGTTTTACCCATAAACATCCTATACATCATGATTGCTCCTATTTGAAATATTCGCCATAAAAAATATCAAATTTTGTAAAAGAGATATTTAACACTAAGAAAATAGATCGAGATTATGGTATGGTTAGAAATCTTATGTAAATGCCTTAAACTAACATTATTAACAGAAACAATTAATTTTAATTGAATACATATATTATCCATTTTGTAATTAAAAAACTTTTAAACGCTTATATAGTTTTTTATTTCTTTCAGAAAAATAGGACTACTTAAAACAGCAACTTTAAATACTGCGAAATTACTTATTACTATCTTGACTGCTATTTTTGACTGCAGATTTATTAAAAGTCGAGAAAGGTATTCTTTAGTTATGGTATTACTTTTTTCAAGTTAGCTAATTAGCAAAGTTCCTTTACCATCCCAAAAACATCGATGCCATGGCCTTTCTTGCCTTCTTTGGAACTCAAGAACCGGTTTCTATCTATTGGTTATGACTGCCATTTGGTTTAGATTATGTAGTAATGGATATATGTTTCATTCATGCAAAGAGTTAAGTACTTTTGTTTTCATAAAAGAGCTAAGTACTTTTTGGAAAGTACCACAGGAATACATTTTTATCATCCGTATTAATCATACGCAGCACCCACCGTACGCAAAGCTTTTTCATGTTCAATTTCTGGTGCAACATGTGAGAAACACTTTTCTTTGACATCTGTAACGTTATTAACAATAACTTGTTTTACCATTAAAGACATGCTGGCAAATTCTATAAACAATTTAGCAAAATATAAAATATATTTAAACTCACCTCTCCAATATACTTCGATCTCATAGCTGAAGTAGACATTAATTTGGACGAGTCGCTCTTAACACACTTGGGTCTTTTATCCAACATGCTCATGCTTAAATGAGCATTGTATATATTAGGTGGACTCCATTGCATCAGTGACTCCAGAGCCATCGACAAACCGGTGTGATGCCAGATCTCGCTAACCGGAACTTGGTTGATATACTCTTGAATATGGGAACGAGTCCAGTGAGGCGCCCACTTTAAAGCTTCTCTTATTATACGTTCTGCATTAGCAGCAAAATCTTTAACAATAGTCTGAAAATGTGCAAAAAATTGAATTTAAAATAACTATAAAATTATATACGACAGAGTATTTATTACTTTCGACTTTGAACAAATAATTCACCTTTTTAAAAAATTTTTCACCTGTTCTGTATTTGCTCTCTAAAAATATATAAATAAAAACAGCAATGTTAAAATGGTTAACTAGAAAATGTTGAGTTTCTAATGAAATAACTGTAGCGACAAATCCCATCCCCATTAAAAGAGGAGTGAGACAAGGAGACGTAATATCGCCAAAGCTTTTCAACTTAGCCCTAGAAGACGTCTTCAAAACAAGACTAGCATGGCTAGGATTTGGAAAACTTAGTTGGATACTTAAGAACCGGAAAATACCCCAATACTTGAGGAGCAAAGTGTTCAACCAATGCATCCTTCCTATCATGACATATAGATGTCAAACCTGGACCCTAACCAAGGCAAACATGAATAAACTAGCCACAACAGAAAGAACAAAGGAAAGAGCAATGTTAGGTATACCACTGTCAGATAAAAAGAGGAACGACTGGGTAAGATTCAAAACAAAAATCGAGGACATAACAAAAAAAATTTTCAAACTTAAATGGAGCTTCGCGGGCCACACTGCTAGACAGAAAGATCAACTCGAAAGAAAATGCAAAAAAGTATTTTTGAAGTGTGTATATTTTAGGCAATTCCTAGCTGAGGAATTGCCTAAAATATACACACTTCAAAAATACTTTTTTGCATTTTCTTTCGACTTGTCATAAGTGTGTACAAAAAAATATCAGTCTTTGATTATTAAAAAGATCAACGTTGGAATACTACAATACAACATTGGAGACCTTACTAAAGTAAACGACCAAGAGGAAGACCACAGATGAGATGGGTTGATGACATTAAAAGAATAGCCGGAACAAATTGGAAATATGTTGCTTAGGATAGAGACCGATGGAAGGAGTTGGGAGAGACCTATGTCCAAACATGGACGACAGAAGGCTAAGAAGAAGAAGAAGAACTGTAGTGAGTTTAATTAATAAATGGTTTTTAATAACAATAGTTCTTAATGTGGAAATATTTCACTAGCAAAAAGTGGGTTTACTAAAGAAATCGGTATTGAGTTTTATTTATAAAACCAGTTTGTATAAAGTTATATATTGATTTAATCGTATAATTTTTCATAATTAACCAAAATTGAATGTTAACTTACCTCTCTTGCTTCTAATATATCCATAAGCTGAATAGAGAATGGTGTGCGAGGAATCCTTAAAGCGGGTGTTTCCTGATTGGGATCTATTTCCAAGGAATTAGACAAAACTTGCATTATATCTAACATCGTCCATAAAACTCTGAAATGTTAAAAACAATGTAGTCCAATTAAGTATACCCTTAGTTGTACAGACTAGAACGATCCAATTAAAACTTTTAAACTAAATTGGAAAATCAATGTAATTTAATCTCTATCTTTTGAGATTATTTAAAATCAGTAAATCAGTGATGTAAGATAACTTATAACGCACCTTAACTTTTTTATTTAGGCATAGGCAAAATAAATGAGCAGACATTTTTAAAGAACAAACGGTTTATTGACGTTCAGTTCTCGGAAGATGAACTTAAAAGATAAAAAGCTTGTAACTAAATTTAGTAATAGCGAGATACAACTTTTAGAGAAAGGATTTAAACAGAACTTGCCTCAACATAATAATCAAAAAACTTCAGAATATTTAGGTGTAGAATGTGAAGTAGCATTAAACAAAACTGCTAACAACATCGAAAAAAGTATAATTGCAAAATCTATTACATCTGTGTGTAGTGAAACCAAAAATTCCTGTTACACAGAGAATAAAACAACCATTTCAATTAAAAATAAATCAATAGAAAACAACATAGTGTTTACAAAAGCAGACGAAGGTAACACTACTATTGCTATAGATAAAATAGAATATAATAACAAAACAATAGAATTTTTAAATAATCAAAATTTTGAAACAGTACACAAAGATCCGACAGAAAAGTATCAAAAACAAATTAAGCTAGCGTTAGAAAATTCAAAATCAATAGTAAATCCAACAGAACAGAAATACTTCAATATACTCTTTTATTAAACTTAATATTTTATTAATCTATAAAATTATACTCTTTTATTAAACTACACAAACCAGATCACCCAATAAGACCTGTAGTTTTTTTTATAAAGCTCCGTCATATAAACTTTCAAAAAAACTATTAGAGATCATTTTAGAATACACACTTTTTCAATTACCTAACAACTCTAGATTAATTTCATTTGACGTAAACAATCTTTTTCCTAGTATTCCCCCTATAGAAACTTTTATTCTAGTAAAAAACCGTTTAAAAAAAAATATTACAAAACCAATCATTATATCTGAAATTTTACATCTTCTTGAAATTTGCAAAAACCAGGACTACTGGAATATAATATACTAATACTGAATATAATAATACTGGACTACAGGACTGAATTTAATAATCAAATATATACAAACAACAGTGCAGGACTTATAATGAGCAATCCTCTAAGTCCATTGCTATCAGACATTTTTATGGATCATCTAGAGACAAAAATTTTTATTGTATATTAATTCACTTCATAGTCATATTGAATTTACAGTAGAAACAGAACAAAATCAATCCATAAATTTTTTAGATTTAAAAATTATCAGACTTAAAAACAAACATGACTTCTCCATATTTCATAAACCTACCCATACTGACACGACTATAAACAATTCATCATCCCATCCCACACAACATAAACTGGCAGCCTATCATAGTATGTTACATACATTAACAGAAATTCCGATGTCAAAATACAACTTTGAGACAGAATTAAATATAATTAAGCAAATAGCAATAAACAATGGATACAACAAAAAAACAATTAATAAAAACCCAGTACCTTCTGCTCGATTACATATAAAGCCAAATATCAACAAAAATAGACAAACACATAAAAAAGAAAGGAATAACACCATCTTTCAGAACAAACAACAACTTAGGCAAATATATTAAAAACAAAAAGAGCCAAAATAAAAAAGCACTTACATAGTGATGTATTCATCGACTGCCCAAAAACTTACATCGGTCAAACTAGTAGAAATTTTAATAAACGAATAGCAGAACATAAAAGAGGTTTCAATAATAGAAAAATAGATTCTACATACGCACTTCACCTTCTAGATCATAATCATTCTTTTAATGACTAATTTCAAATTCTTCACAATCAAAATAAAGGCCTTAAGCTATCTTTGTTAGAATCTATGGAAATTAACAAATTAAAAAACACAGATATAATTCTAAATAACCAATTTGAGACAAACAGTTCTCCCCTCCTCAACATATTTCATTAAAGACTATAAAGTGTAAACGTATGCCGCCAAAAAGAGATCACTTGAGAAAGGTACTCTGCCGAAACCGCTGTAGTGATAAGATATTATAATAAATTTTATGGAAGTTTTGAAAACAAAGTTTTCAATGTTTTATTATTACATAAAAAGCTTGTATTAACTGAAAGAGATTCTGATTAATAATACAATGGTATTGGGATACGTCAAAGGTATAAGACGGGGGTGTTTCTTTCTTGCTAAACGTGTAGACGTCATCAGAAATTTTTAACTAGATCAATAGATTAAGACATGCTAAGTATGGTAATGAGATAATTTACCGTAGGTTATAATTAATGTAACATGCTTGATTTGTCATTAAATTTAATTTCAATTTCTTAAACATATTATGAATGTTTAATACATTTTAACAGTAGTGTACATTGTAATATGCCAATCTAAACGTTCCTTAGGTATAGTCCCTACAAACCTATCACCTAAGCAATGTTTAGAGTAAGGATTCACACAACCAAAGATTTGTAAAAGAAAATATTATACGACGAAGTACGTCGTTAATTGAAAAATCTGAATTAATAATTTTTGGCGGTAAATACTCCTTCTCAAGAGATAATACCATTTTTAATCAAGGATATATTTCAATGTTCTGAACGATAAAATTCAGTAAAATGAACCGACTCAGATTAACAGCTGAATTCATTGGAACTTTTTCCTCGCCTTGCCGAGGTAATGTATCATTGTTGTTGATGTAAAATATGTTCTCTGGACTCTGACTGTTCCATTTGAAAACATAGCATTCAATCTAATGTTAAATAATCATATTCATTTCTTCGAGTTCCTAATAATTATACGAAATAAATAAATACCGAAAAATCAAATCACTTACCTTCAATAAATACCGAAAAATCAAATCGCTTACCTTCTACTCCACAAAAGATGTGGAAACTTATCGATCAAACTTGCCAGGAATTTATCAGATACCCTTCGTATCTGTTTGTGTTGATGATTAAAGTTAACCAATAAAAACTGAGCATGCAGCTCTAGATCTGCTTCTCTAGCTTCATTTTTGGGCCTATCTTTCATCACGTCTAAAAATTTGTCAAACACCCTTTCGCTAACGGACTGAACACAATTCCACATTCCAGCTTTGTCTTTTTGAAGAGCAGAATCACTTAAATATTCTGAAATAATTGGAACCAAACTTGGTTCTCCAGAATGTTCCACTCTAACAAATTAAACAAAAATATTTTCCATTAGTAAATTTATCAAAAAATTGTACGAGTTTCATAATTTCCATAAATATCAAACATTAGGTTAAGCAGGATTGATTTGGTATATATGATACTAGAACTATATTATACATGGACGTATAAATAAAGATATTATACGTCCATGATATTATATCGATACATTTTTGGCAAAGTAACGTAATTGACATTTTTGGCGAAAATCATGTTTTTCAATTAAACTAACACTATTATTGTTAAAAAGGTACTGCCAAAGTGTAGTAAGCCTAGAATTACTTTAAACCTTTTTAAGGACAAGTTTTTTCAGTCATAATTTAAATAAGTTTAACCAGGTTGAATTAAAAAATTGTTTTTTCTAAAAATCGTGTTTGGTGACTTACGTTACTTTGCCAAAAATGTATCGATATTATTTAAGTACATGATCTTAAGTCTCAAATATTAAAAGATATTATTTCCGAGATAATGTGTAAAAGATCTAAGCTAAAAATAATATTTTGGTTACCTTAATGTTTCCACCCAATACACACTCAATAAAAATGTGCATTGCGCAAAAGTGAGCTTGTTTACATAAGCAGTAATGTCGGTTGGATGCTTTAAAAGGTCTAAAATTTGAGTCCTCAATTCCTGTAACTCATTCACTGATACGCTTTCGTTTCTAACAGCACTGGTAAACTGTAATTCCCTCATTTCGGATCTACTGGAAGTAAACGATACCAGAGTGGGAGACTTGACTGCTATTTCTTTTACACCTTCATACCATTCTTGAGGCCACAAACCTAAAATTTTTAAAAATATTTCAGCTAATCTAGAGAACATTTAGTGTAAATGGCTGATAAATCTTAACTCAGAAATCGAGGCGTATTAGAAATTGTTCGAAGTTGAAATAATTAAAATTTACATGGGGTCATGAAACTTCTAATAGACATATACTGAACGCCATAAGTTTTAGGATTTGAAACTTATTAAGAACATTAAAGAGGCTTGGAATTGGAGAATGAAAACGTAAAATTGGAGTAGTATCTAAGATTATATTTTAAGCGAGAACGACATATTCGTATATAATAAAAATGTAAAACAGATAAAGCTTGTGGTCAAGTTCTCACTAAAGCAAACAGCTAAACTTCTGTTAGTGGAGGCATAACAAGCATCCTAAAACGGGTTATGAATTTGACCGTACAAAGTTTCAAAATATTATGGGTTCGGGATCTAGACAGACAGAGACTGGAGCGAAACGTACGAAGATGAAGAATATCGTGGCTTAAGAACTTAAGGAGAATGGTTTGAATGCAGAACTATTTAGAGTGGAAGTCAACAGAGTCTGCATAGCCATGATGATTTCCAACTTTCGATAGAAGATGGAACTTAAAGAAGAAAATGGTCCTATCTATGCTCTAACTTTTACCTAAATCAGTTTTTTTGTATCTCTTACGACAAATGAGTAATATGATTTCCTCGCACTAATGCTGCACCCTGTACATGTGAACTATTATATTTTAAGTGAAAAGACAGCCAATATTTGATTTTACGCAAAAAGCGCCTTTGTATCTGTTGATACGTATTTCGACCTAATAGGTCTCATCAGAACAGTTATTCAAAGGTGTTCTCAACGTGAAAGATCAATATTTTCTGTCTTTTAAGAAGCAACACTAAAATGGCTTCAATACGGACGCAATAGCGACATCTGAGAATAAAACCGTAAAATAGTTTCGAAACAAAATTCAGATTTCTGCTTTAATCTGTGCTTTCTAAAAATTGCAAAGCAAAACAGACGTTGATAAAGGTGTTACGCTATTGCGTCCGTATTGAAGCCATTTTAGTGTTGCCTCTTAAAAGACAGAAAATATTGATCTTTCACGTTGAGAACACATTTGAATAACTGTTCTGATGAGACCTATTACGCCGGGTCCAGACCAAGCAGACAAAACGAAAACACAATTCTGAAACAAAAACACGATAAACCGGCGACAAAATTTGTCGTCAAAAGACAAAACAAAATTGAGACAAATTGTCCACACCAGAACAACAAAATATAAAAACAAATTCAGTTGGTGACGTTGTTGTTGTGATTAGTGTTGGTTAACTAAGTGGCGTTTTAATCAAGAAAAAGATGAAATTGAAGATTTATTGCTAGCCGCAAGTTTTTTGCTCTCATCATCATCCCAGGTTGCTAAAAGAAAACCGAAACGTTTTTGGATTAGACCAAGCCTAAAAATGCGAGAAAGTTGTTCGATATACAAATTGTTAGTTCAGCTGCGAGCAGATGATATTGGACTAGTGGTGAAATTCGATCAAGCTTCAAAATTTTTTTAAGAATGTCCACCGAAGATTTTGAGAATCTAATATGCCTTGTTGGTCCTGCAGTTGCAAAAAGACATACTAACTTTAGAAATGCTATGAGTGTAACAGAAAGGTTAGCAATCACTTTAAGATTTTTTAGCAACAGGTGATTTCTACCACAGCCTAATATATCTTTCAAAAGTATCAAAGCAATCAATATCTGTAATAATACCTGAAGTATGTAAAGCTTTAATTAACAGTCTTAGTGGTTATGTACGTACAGGTATGTTAAACTTTTTTCATTACTATTTTTCTGTTAATATCCCTTAAAATAAACTCCATATTTATTGGTTAAATGTTTAATACAAAAGAAGTTGACGATAGGTACATACTACATGCAAAATAATGACGAGTCTACTTGTTTTTACATTCAAAAAGTTCATTATCAATTTCGTTCGTTTTCTTGATCTGAATACTGAGAAAGCTCTGTGTCAATACTAGGTGGATGTGAAAATAAAGGTTGTGTGTTGGTGTTGTGGGTCAGCACTGGGTGGATTTGAGTATAAATGTTCAATTCTTCTTCTTCACGTGCCATCTCCGCTACGAAGGTTGGCTATCATCATGGCAATTTTGACCCTGGAGGCTGCCGCTCGGAACAATTGTATGGAAGTGCAAGCAAACCACTCCCTGAGGTTTCTCAACCACGACATTCTTCTCCTACCTATGCTGCGCCTACCTAAATGTTCAATGCTGGGTGGATTTGAGTATAAATGTGTGTCAATGCTGGGAGGAGTTGAATATGAACGTGTGTCAATGCTGGGAGGATTTGAGTATGAATGTTGTGTGTCAGTAATGGGTGGATTTGAGTACAAATGTTGTGGGTTGGAGTTGGATGGAGTTGAGTGAACATTTGTGTTGAGACTAAGTAACAGAAAAATACACTTAATTTTGATAAAAATTGTACATTCTATTTCTCCTACTGCTTAACTCGTTTTGGCACGCACACGCGTCCACACTGCGCCAACAACTTGTCGTCAAATACACAGACTTTTTGATCTTTACCGACCTGAGACGGGACCTGAAAAAGTTTTCAAATTTGCAAACAAAACAAAATTGTTCAGAAATGTCTCAACAAATGTTTTCGATTTGTCGCCACTTTGTCGCGAAACATGAATGTTTTTGTTTTGTCTGTTTGGTCTGGACCCGGCATTAGGTCGAAATACGTATCAACAGATACAAAGGCGCTTTTTGCGTGAAATCAAATATTTGCTGTCTTTTCACTTTATTCGGATATACTCTGTACGAGTACTAGAAACCAATTCGCTAAGGATTTCTGCTTAGTTGAAAAGACGTGTCGTGGAATGCAAATTTTAGATTCCCCACGTCTCTTTTAACACCTTTATCAACGTCTGTTTTGCTTTGCAAATTTTAGAAAGCACAGATTAAAGCAGAAATCTGAATTGTGTTTTACAACTATTTTACGGTATTATATTTTAAGTCAAGTTATTTCAAGACATATTGTCTACATTAATTTATTTAAATTGAGATTGTCGCCAATTACAATTTTGCTTTATTCAGTTTTATAAGAACATACCACTCTTGTCAATAAATATTTGAAAGAATTTGTTTACTTGTTTTAATTTGTATTACAGCACAGTAATAATAATTACATAATTAGGTATATAAAAATGTGTGTCCTTTGACGATTATAATTAAGATAAGATTCTTGGTAAGTTTCATTTTTTGTTTCTCACTGTTGTGTATTGACTGTATTTAAAGTAGAGACGAAGCCATGAGACGACTCATGGCGTCATCTACTTCGTTCCTCTATAATCTTCGGGGTCGTCCTCTTTTCCTCCTTCCTATGGGGCTCCATTCGGTTATTCTCTTTATCCATCTGCTGTCGCTAGTTCTTCTTACATGTCCATACCACTTTAGTCTTTTTTGTTCTATATATGTTAGTATATCTGTTTCTATTGATGTTCTTTGCTTTATTTCGTCATCACTTTTCCTATCCATTCTTGTTACTCTGCAGCATATTCGCAGGCATTAACTGTCTATCTCAGCAGACTGAGTTGAGTTGTCGGATTGCTGTTCTTGTTTGTCCCTATCTTTGCTTAATTTCTTCCTCTTTTGTTCTACATCACTACTTGATCGTCTGCAAAGCTTAACGTATATAGGTATTCATTTCGTACCGGTACTCCCATGCCTTCGCATTTTTTTTCCATGTAGTCAAGTCATTTCTTTAAGTATATTTTGAATAGGGTTGGAGATGTGGAACAAACCTGCAGGAGCCCTTTTATTCTGGTGAAGTCTCCTATGATTCTCGTTTCCATTTTAATGGGCACTTTATTTTCTTTATACAGAGCTTTTGTAGCTTCTATGAGTTCAATTTAATTTTTTCTTTTAAGTTTTGTTTCAATCCTCTCAGTACTTTCCATGACTCCGAAGTTCTTGTACCTCCTATATATGTTTCAATATTTAAGCAGGTTCTTTAACATTCTTCATTTTTTAGTTGTGTTATTTATTTTTTCACTTCTCTATCTTTTTCTCTATATTCTTTATAAACTTCAACGTTGTTTGTAGTCAGCCATTTTCTGTATAGTTGCTTTTTTTCTTTAATTATTCTTTTTGTTGGTTCATTTATTTCATAATAGTGCTGTTTATTTGGTATATGTTCTTTCTCTCCAAGGGCTTCGAATGCTGCTTGTTTTATACTCACCTTTATATTCTCGTATATTTCTTCGATGTTGCTGTATCTGAATTCTATTAATTTTTGGTCTCGACGTGTATAGGTCTCTTATTACATACCATTTAATTAATATTAATGTCCATTTAATTTAATTTTTAAATTAATAATTAATGTCCATTTTTGCTGCCAGCAGTTTATGGCCAGTTCCACATTCTGCTCCTCTTCTGACTCTTACATCTTTTATCTTTATTGTAGTATCTTGTTTGACTATTACATAGTCTATTATTGATTTCAGCTTTCGTGTTTCTTGCGTTAATGTATATTTTTTATAATATATTTTTATGTCTGAAGAATCCATTGGTGATTTTTAGGTTGTTTAGTTCGCATAATTTAATCAGACGTTCTCCGTTATCGTTTTGTTCATACTCTCCAAATCTCCCCACTACTTTATCGTTTTCTTTCCTTCCAGTTCTACCATTAAGGTCTCCTGTTATAATTACCTTCACGTTTTTCTTAATTAGCTCTATTTGGTGTCGAAGTGGTTCCGTGAAATTTTCTTTCTACGTCTATCGGTACATATACTCCAAATACCACTGTGTCTTTACCGTATATGTCTATATGCATTTTAATTATCCTCTCGTTCATTGGCTCACATGTTCTAACCCTTGTAACAAAAATGGTTTGGCTGAGTCGCCAATATAACGAGAATGTGTAGTAAAGATGTGCAAATAAATAAAGGGTAAATATGAATATTTAAGATATATTAAAAATAATGTTGGCTAGCGACTATGCAGGAGAATGACCACT